TTAATTCATTCTTTCATTCATTTTCTTTTCGGCTTAGTCCCTTTATAAGTCTGTAATTGCCACAGCGAAATGAACCGTCAACTTATCCAGCATATGTTTTACGCAGAGGATGCCAGGAGGGCCAGCTGGGGCTTTGGGGGGCGAAGTGAAAGGAGAGGCGGACTTTGCCCCAAGTCTGGGAAAGATGGCTTGCCGTCATTATACTAATTTTCCGAAGGCACACGAGTTACATGCGCACATGAACAAATAAATTAATAAATAAGGGAAAGAAAACATCTAGCCTTATGGGTTGAGAGGTCTTTTTGATTATAATCGCCGTTATGTTTCCGTTTTAAATGTAAGGCTGTTGCATAAAATAATACAATTTTAATTTATAAGTGTTTAAATACAATTTTAATTTATAAGTCTTTGCTGCGTCCCCCTGGATGTTTCAATAACGCATAATAATCTTTACACCATATTAAAGACACAGCAGACTAAAGGTTTTCGAGAGTTTTTGTCAAGTTTAAACGGTGTGTTTGTGCGTGTTTATATGCCTGCATATATGTGTGTGTGAGAGGTTGAGCAAATGAGCGCTCCCATCACAGCTCTGGTAAGCTGCGAGCAGCTTCTTTCTTTTTGTTATTTATTTTGCAGATAATACACAATATGAATAAAACAGAAAGACATAAAACTTTACGTGTACCCTTTTGTAGACTTAAAACAAGTGTCATATCTTTATAAAATAGCCTAAGCCATATTGAAATATAATTTAAAGAATTACAAATATCTGATATAATAAAATCGCATGAAATAAATAAACCATTATAAAACAAGCAAAAGCAACAAGGTAGGCCTTTATAGCCTACATAAATGAAACCTTTAAAGCCATATTAAACAAAGCAATTTTACAAAGGCTTTGTTAAAAAAAAAAAGATTTGATATATTCTCTAAAAACAGTAAACACCAGAGAAGGTTTAAAATATTATTTATTTATTTATTATTTATTTAGGATACGATGATAATAATCAAATCATGCAAACAGAGCATTTTTGGGGTGAGTGAACGCATGAACTGCGACCTTTTTTTCAGTTAACTAAATGTGCAGTGCCACTTTAAAAACGGATCAGGGGAAACTACAAAAATAAGTGTGTTCTGTGTCCCCAAACAAGCATTGATGTTTTTATATGACGCGCTAAAATTGAAAAATGAAATTTACATGAAGAGCTTTATTAGTGAAAAGCTGCTGAGCGCAACGCAATATATGCTGTTTTATTACTCGCTCTGTGCTTAAATAGTCTACTTAACACTTTCCTTAAGATCACAGATACAATATGCAACATCTAATTCCGGGGACGTTCTGGGGACAGGGTTTGCGTGTCATGCTGCAAGCTACTAGCCCGAAAGTGAAAACGCGACATGATTTCAGCCTCACTGATGCCCATTAACACCTAACAGACAAGCTTTTGGTTATGAATAGGGGGAAGGGGTCTCCACTCTTTAAGTGTTTTTCATAAACATGAATACACAAAATCCAAAAATCCAAAAAAGATGGCTTAACAAAACCTATGCGTTTAAAAACGAAACCGCATTAAATATGGGGCCTTATGAAAATGAATGTTTCTATGCACAACAACTGAACTTAATGTGTTATTTAAAATATCTATATTACGCTCCAAGCATTCGCCAAAACGAATATATGTAAAAACACAGAACATAGCTGAATAGAGTGTTGCCTGCTTTAGACGATAGGTTATTAATTATATTATAAATGGTTATGTTCAGGTCAGTGAAATAATACCTTTAATAAATAAAATGGTGGGCCAGTGATTCCCTCGCTGTCATCAGTGCATGGGTTAATGAGCTTAGGAGAATTCTGCTTTGCATTTTTCTATGCATTACTAACATCACTAAACCAGACATTTGTTTTATAAGTTAACCAAATATTCGCGCAGATTCAGCAGTTTTTTTCTGACGCGTTTGCCATTCATGCCAGTCAGTGAAAAAAGAAGTAACTGTGGCCCTGTTTGCAGGTATTAAGATTCGTTTTCATCAATCTGATGCAACTTTTATTATTTACAGGACGTAAAAATGCAATTAAAAGTTTCAAATCAATTCAATTCAATTCAATTCAACTCAATTTATTAAAAGACTAGCCTATTTTATGCATTAAATAATGAAATATAACTAATTTCCTTTATTTCTGATCAGACCATGCATTTTAGACTATTTTACAATTGTAATACGTGCATATGCTTTTTTTAAAATAACATTCGTCTAACAAATATTTTAGCACATCGAAAGTAATCAAATGACCTGTTTTTGATTAAAAACCTTTATGCAAAAGGATCAGAAATTGATCGCGCACGCGTAGGAAAATGCAGTTATGTGACACATGACATGCATGGCTCCTATGCCGCGTTTTTAGGATAAATTGGCATATAGGTGCTGCTTTGAATAGAATAAAACTATTTAAAAACTCATTAAAAACTTCACAAAGCGTATCTTATGGAAAAACACCAATTGCCGGGCTCTGCTTTCGGTTTTAAAAGAATCAAGCAGCTTTAAAAAAATATAATTTGCTGAAGAGAAATGACAGAAAAAAAAGATTAAACATATCGGGACTGTTAAAAGAACATTTCTCTTTAATATATTCTTTCGACTCCGAAACATCAGCTAAGATTATGAATTACGGAGTGTCTCTATTGCCTGCTTCAGCAGTGCGTGGCTGGTTATGAACGAGGAGGCGGAGAGAATGCGCTGTTTAGTTTCGGCTTGATATATTTAAATAAAAACTAACACAGAACTGCTTTTAACGCTCAAAAAGTTAAACTAAAATGCACAACTCTTGTTGGTTGCACCCGCGGGATGCACAATAAACCTATCGCGCCATTATTTTAATTCTATATTTGTGAAGAATGAGCCATGAGATTGAGATTTTTGAAGGTGCTCTCCAGCGGCGAAGTTCCTGGCAGAGTAGCGGGTGAAAAAATATGCATGCAGAAATTGAACAAGAGGAATAACATTTTAAATTATATAACAAGCATCGTATTCTTTCTAATCCCCGCCCAGTTTTAATACAAGTTGTGTTCTTCAATATTTGTGGCTGGGAAGTTTATTAAGAATATATTTATAATTATATATTATTAAATAATTACATATATATATATATATGAGAGAGAGAGAGAGAGAGAGAGAGAGAGAGAGAGAGCCATTACAAGTAAAACAACAACAACAAAAAACAACAATTTTACTTTAAAGAAAAACAGATGTTTTGAGAAAAAAAAACTGAACAAAACTGAAACCAAATTATTAAAACTAAACTTGCGGGACTTTATTTATGTCCTGTGGCAAAATTATTTTTATTATACTTTAAGTTATCTGCTTGAAGTAGGCTAGGTCACATTTATCAATGGTAAGTTTTAGTCTAAGTTTACATCAATAACAATGTGCATTGTCCTTTACCATACAAAAAAGGAAGAAAAAACATTATTATACACCATAGTAGCCGCAAATCTTTTTAAATGCATTAAAAAAGCAAGCACATATCTTAGCCTTACCTTGAGTTTGTTCACATTCTGCCAGTATTAACATAGCCTACATGCTGTATTTTATTACAGTTCATTTTGATGAATTAGGTCTAACTGACAGCTTTTTCTTCTTTTTTCGCGGTTATGCGGCATTATATTTCACACGCATATGCAAGGTGACTGAAATTGAAATTAAAATACCAAACATACTGAGCCATTAATTAAAAAACAAAACAACAGTTATAGCTTCTTTAAAGGAGAACATTGACGTTTTGGAAAAAAAAAAAAAAAAAAACTGAACTGAAACTAAATTATTAAAGATAAACCTGCGAGACTTAATTTATGTTATGTCCTGCGGCAAAATTTGTTTTATTATACTTTCAGTGATCTCCTTAAGGTAGGTCAATTTATTTATTTATTTATTTATTTGCTTTTGATGAAGCAGCATTCAACTTAAGCTCTTTAGACCATGCCCCTGACCGTTTCTCAGTGTTTCGCCGCAATATCTTTAAATAAATAATTTATTTAGGCCTAATTTCATTATTAATTAGTTTTCATTATTCGTTTATTATTATGTACAATTGTTGAGACATAAAATAAGATAGTAAAATATAATCAACAACGAAAATTAAAACAAAAACAGAAATAAAAACATAAATGAAAATGTCTTGTCTTAGTCCTATCAAAATAGCAAACACTGAACATCTCTCTATATTTAGGCTAAAAGACTGCTTTATTTATTTATTTAAGACTACTTATTTGTACTGAATGTTTGTGCTTTCATGTTAGTTGTCTTTTATTTCTTCAATTCTATTTTCCAAAACTAGTCCTCTTTGCACTTAAAAAGTTTACAATAAAGTGTGTTAACAAATTTTAAATGATTAATGAAGGAATTATAATGCTTTGACTTATTGTTTAATCTCATTTACAAGCACAGTAGCATATTTAAAGCTGCTGTAAAGGCTATTTCTGTCCGTTCGCATCCCGTCCCTTTGCGCCCCCTGGCGGCTCATTCACAAGCTGCTGTCATATACTAAAAACAGAGCGGCAGTTATTTCAAACGGCGGCGGTATAAGACGCGGCGGTAATAGTCACTTTGAACTCTCACCTACTGTAACTGACTATAAGAAACTTTGCGAGTACATATCAACTTACACTAACCCCAACCCTAACTTACACTAACACCAACAGTCTACTAATAATCTAATGAGAATTATCTGGCATGTGGATGCAATGTAACTTAAATTCAACAAACGGACCATCAAAATAACGTGTGACCTTTTTTATTATTTATTTGCATTTTTATTTGATTTGCTAATTATTTATGTAATATTCTAACTTTGGATTAAACATAGACTGAGGAAATCAGACATTTCTGATTGATGCAAAATTTGTTGCTTAAATGTATAGTGGATCTCACTGGCTATCATTAAATAGTCTGGAATTCAGCATTGGCCTATAAAAACCAATATAGATGGATGTATCTCATACCTCTAGCACATGTGAACTGGTCAGCGGCGAGAGTCCAGCCAGACGGACAGGCACAGGAGTAAAACCTGGGACCGACTGCTGACAGCAGGCAGATATGAGTGCAGGGGCTTGAATGAGGATCACATGGGTTATAACCTGTAGGAAGATGACAACAAAATTCCTAAAAGGGTCCTATTATGCTTTTTACACATTATTTACTGTGTAATGTTGCTGTTTGAGCGTAACATTTAGCAGCAAAACATTTACAGCCAAATTAATCCCTATATCAGTAACATTGTTTCTGAACTCCCTTAGCCTTCTTAGTGGACACATACGTGGACCTCACATTTCAGCTCTTATGTCTTTTGTTTTATTTTTTTTTACAGACATTCAGTGTCATCCTGCAACTGTTTTGCAGCATATGAAATGTCCCAAACACTATTTTAACTGTCCAAAATGGGCCAAAAAAAAGTTTTTACTGATAGTCAAAACATGTTCTAAAAATATGTGTGTATGTGTTATTAGTGCAATAAAAACAGTCAGCAAAAAACTCAAGGCTGAAATAAAACTTACACTATTATACAAAGGTGACTTTATTGTGTTTTATGGAAATTCTGACCACGAGTGCATATATATGGATGTAATATTTCATTAAAAGTACATCATATCAAAAGATGATACTTAGGTTTTATTCTAATTAGGTTTCAATAAGTCCAAATAGCAAAGAGAAATAAAAAAAATGCATATGAAAAAATAGCTTGGGCCTTAAGAGGTTAAATGTCTTCAATATCCTAGATTTAACCACTCAAAAGGGGACACAGCTGGACTGAGTTATGTTAGTAAAGTGTTGTTGCTGCATGCAGCTTCACAGATCTTTATAACAATTTCTGATAAAAAATCTTATGAACATTTGACAGATGAAATTAAAGAGAACTTCTGCACTGTGAAAAACTTTTCTAGTCATCTCAACAGTCAAATAAACTAAAGTTAAACTTTGTATAACTTAAAAAAAAATTGTTGAAACTTAATTAATTTATTAACAATTATTGTCTTGAATTTTTGTCATCACATTTTTTATAGTGTGTTGGTTACCTCTCTCAGAAAGCCAAATATCAGGAGTTTAAACTGACAAGACTTTAAAACACATGATTTAAAAGCTCCACCCTCTTCTGAAAAGGGGGCAAGGTCAGCAGCTCAGTTGCATTTAAACAGATGCATGAAAAAAATGCAATTGGATTTAAAACATGGTATATTAATTGATACTTTGGGGTACTTTGAGCTGAAACTGGAAACACTCAAGGCATATATTAATCTTGTAAAAAAAAGGGCACAATAGGACCCCTTTAACATGATCTTGGATGTATTGTTCATGATTCAATGGTAACAGTTATTTTAAAAGATGTTATTCTTGGATTGACAAAGTTTTTAGCACCTAACAGGTTTGTCTGAGACAATTCACACTCTGAAAAGCATTAGACAAAGATTAAATAAAGAAAGAAGTACCTATGTAAAATGTCCTAATGCGCACACACACGTAGTTTTTAAAGTGTGGTACCTGCTGGCTGTCTAGCAGGGTGAAGTGCCACCAGACCCATTGGCTGGGGCAGATTATACAGCATCACCGACTGGTTCTGTCCGTGCCACTTGTTGGCCCGGATCACGCGGTTGACGTATCTGTCGGTCCAATAGACAAAATCCTCAAAAATGGTAATTGCGTGGGGATGTTGCAGTACCTTTCCATTGAGAAACAAGAAGTGTTTTATTTATTCAAATGGTGATTGAGTAAAAAAAAAAAAAAAACAAGCAGGATAGTTAAAACAGAAGCATACTTCTTGCAAATATGAAAACACAATTGTTAAATATGTTAAGAGTCTAAAGCAGGGGTCACCAATCCTGGTCCTGGAGGGCCGGTGTCCCTGCAGGGTTTAGCTCCAACTTGCCTCAACACACCTGCCTGGATGTTTCAAGTATACCCAGTAGGACTTTGATTAGCTTGTTCAGGTGCATTTGATTAGGGTTGGAGCTAAAATATTATGCTAAAATAATATGGTGCAGTACACCAGCCCTCAAGTTTGGTGACCACTCGTCTAAAGTATTTTACACACGTTAATGAATGCAACGCTATTTTAAAGTTCTGTCAGAAATCACTTAATTTAGATCATTTTCAAAAAAACTTTTCTTTGTGGATGTTAATGTGCATCTTAATTTATGGATATTCTAACAAAAATAAATAAATAAATAAATTATCAAGGCAAGAAATACCCGTTGTATAGAGCATTACATGTAAACACAAAAGTTAGTGTATTAAACAAAAGGTCTCACCAAATCACTGGCCAGTACTTGTTTTCGGTTCTTTCCATCGTAATCGCAGTAGTCTATAAAGTCTAGATAAGCGTCAGCGAAGTATAGTAGACTGTTGGGGTAGTCAATCGTCAATCCATTGGGCCAGTAGAGTTTGTTGCTGATGATTGTGGTCCTTAACTTGCCATCCATACTGGCTCTCTCAATACGAGGATTTCTGCCCCAGTCAGTCCAAAACATCAGGTGAGTGCTGAAATAAATATAAGAGCCTTTCAGATTTGGTACATTGTAGAGAATTATTTTAGTACGTTCACATAAAAGTACATCCACATTCACAACGTTGGGTTCATTTTTTTATTTTTTGCATTTAAATGGTACTTTTTAGCACAATAGTTGTCTCTGTCCATATTCGACCCCATGTTGGATTATAACAACCCTGCTTTTTAACATAATGGACTCTATTTTAAAGGGTCACAAAACACATTTATGAGATGTTGACAGTCATATATGTGTCCCACGCTGCTAAAAACACTATTAGGATACATATATTTCACAAAAAACGGGTTGTTTTTGCGTCAATTCGAGCAAATTCGTTCATCCAGTTTGAAAGTAATTTAGAAGCTATGTCATGGTCATGTGATCCTTGTGTGAATTCTAGCATGTAGACTGGCTGTCTGTACCGGCGAGTACAACGTGACGTCTTTAAGTTATCATCATTAATTCATGAGAAAGACTTGGTTCGAATCAATCATCGCGTTCTGTTATGAATGAGGCGCAACTTCATTCATTTGCATGATAGCTTTGAAGACAACAAGTGGAAGTAGAAGGATTTTAGGAGACAGGGGTCGTCAGAGTTGTGTTGTACAGCAACAAAGGTTTTGTTTTCCTGCTATGAGAGTGCAGCTGGACTCACGTGTGGATTATAGTGGTCTGCTAACATGTGACAAAAATACGTTTGTAAGGATCTTTTTTTAACCCGAGAGCTTTTCGAATTTGGAAATGGTGAAATTCGGATTTGCCGCAAGTCTTTTTTTTTTTAAAGATGCGGTTCCAGTTTGTGTTGATTGTCCTGTCTCTATAGTTTTGGTAAGTGTATGATGAATAGTCTTTGTTTATGTTTATTCAGAGGCAAAGTTCGTATAGTCAGCAGTACTCTTTCAGTGTTTAAAGACAGACCTTAGTAAAAATGATTAAGTTACTTAGTTTACAGCACGTTAATATCGCTACAATATTATGGATTGAAAGATCTGCTGTAAATGCTGCACTCTGAGTGTAAACATGTAAACACCGCAATCAAACTATTATGATTGTCTACACACACACGACTGTCTGACACTATTTTCTGAGTGCATCTAAGTTACGAGAAACGTAGAGGGCTCTCATAAGGCTTGCTGTATTAAACAATCCATTAAAACTACACTCTTCCTGCAGTTCCTGTATCCAATATCTCGTTTTTCACAGGTGGCAAAAAATGTTCCTAAATGAAAGTAAAAGTGCCAACGTGCAGTTAAAGTCGACAAATTAAGAATTGACCAAGTAATTCAATAAAAAATGAACCCCCCGACATGCACACCTAAATGAAGGTGGACTTACCCACTTTCCTCACTTTTTCCAAACTAGAGGTGTTAAAACAACCAGCTGAAACAAGGGTTTTTTTCATGGCCCTTTAATGATCTAAATCTAAATGCATGGTCTAAAGCGCAAAATGCAGGTACACTTAAGAATATGTTCAAATCCACTTTTGCTATTTGGGGAAAATGGTTCCAGCGCAGGATCTAAAAATGTTGTCCTTCCTTTCTTCTCCTAATGAGTTCTGGGTTTGTTTTAGGCATAACGTCCAAATGTGAAGAGGTAGCAGATTTTTTGTATATGTAGACAATAATTATCCTGTACATTACAATCCTTACACGTTTTATACAAATGTTTGTGCTGGTGCACATCCCTGTGTATAATAAGCAATGTGTATGTGCATTTTGGACCCGCTATCGCTAACGCACCATTTAATTAACAAAAAAATCATGAACCTTTGACTTTAGAGCAGCTTTTAGTCGGTCAATGGCGTGGTCTATTTCAGTTGCCTCAAAATAGCAGCACGTCAACAATGTGCCTCAACACACCTTCTTTTCAGACCACCTTATGGGTGTATGAGCACACAAGTGAGCATAAATGCATTTGCTATTTAAACAGTGTGGTGGAGGACGTGGAAATGATACTAGCAAAAACACTTGCACAGAGCCTGGCGCCACATTGCGCTGAGTGTACAGTATGATAGAGCCCAAAAAATGGCCTTTGGAGCCACATAGCAGACTGTTGAAAAGCAGCAAGTCTTACTTGTTTCTAGGGTCCACTACCAGACCCCTAGGGTTCGTCACATTTTCACTGATCAGCACCGTTCTGTGGGAGCCGTCCAGTTTGGACACCTCAATGGTCTCCAGAATGTAGTCAGTCCAGTACAGGTTTCTGCCAACCCAGTCGACGGCAAGACTCTCAGTGACGGTCACTCCACTGTCAAAGATCTGTCAGGGCAGACACATGATATTTCAGTGTGATGATGCTAATGTTGACTGTAGAGGTGTCATTTGTGATGCTCACCACTGTGCGGTCAGTCCCGTTTTTGTGAGCACTCCATATCCTGTCCTGCGTGGTGTCGGACCAGTAAATACGCTCAGTGACTGAGTCGAAATCCACCGCTACGATGTTACGACCGTCTCGCACTAGAGAGCGAATAGCGTTGGGCTGGGCGAGGATGTCGTCGGATATAATCTGATTCCGACTGGCCACTAAGAGCAAGGCCTCTCGAGATCCTGTTGGATTGAGAAATAAATATTATTACAATTTAATAATAATTACTTTATGTTCTTTTAATCAAGATTTTAAATAGAAATTTATGATCAAATTTAATGTATTTCTGTGCTGATTTTTAAGACTCTAGCCTCCAGTGCCATTTGATGCTCTAATAAAATCACTATATTCTGAATGTAACTGGGAGACAGTGTAAAGACCTAAGGACCGGTGTGATGTGATCTGATTTCCTGGTTCTAGTCAGAATCCTGGCCGCAGCGTTCTGGATGAGCTGCAACTGTCTGACTGTCTTTTTGGGAAGGCCAGTGAGGAGGCAGTTACAGTAATCCACCCTACTGCTGATAAAAGCATGAACAAGTTTCTCTAATTTCATTGGAAACAAAGCATCTAATTCTTGCAATGTTTATGAGATGATAGTATGCTGATTTACTTACTGCTTTGACATGACTATTGAAACTCAAATCTGACTCCAGAAGATTTTTCTGACCCTGGCAGTCAAATGCAAATTCGCCAGGTCTCGAAACGCTTCAAAACTGATCGATGCTTTGAATCGCTTTAGTCACGTGACCAGGTCTTCGAAGCACTTTAGTCACGTGACTTGAGTGTTTCGGATCATGATTTGGTGCAGTGTTTTGAAACCCTTGCGCTTCTCAACGCTGTCAAAACGTCAGTTTCACATCAGCCATCCCTACTTAAAATGACTTATTACCCTACCATGGGTTTTTTGTTATCTCCAGCCCTGTTTGCTGTTATCTGGGCTCAGTGTCCAATTTTTTGTTCTGAATTAATAAAGCTTCTATTTATTGCTGATCTGCGTCTGGGTTATGTCCACACTCCTGACACATGATTAAAGCTTTTCTTTCATTAGCTATCCAAATCCATTAATTTAAATATTTATAATAAACTGAAAAAACTATTTACTGGACAAAATCATAATTTATATTTATCATTCATGCAGAATGATAAGCTTTATAGACAAAAGACTCACAAATAAAGAAAACATCCCAGAGTGTGCACATTTCATGCCTCATATTTTATACCAGTATCTGATTAGATTTCAAAACAATGATCGTGCATATCTCAAGATACATCAAATAACTTTGACAGGACTCGAAGCTAATCCAAACGTTCTCCATGCATCAGCTCTCACTTATAAAAGTATGTGCGAGGTCTCTAACGTGGCCAAACAGAAGGATAGAGAAAACATTGAGAAAGAAGACGAGATATATCGGATGACAGCATTTTTCAGCAGGCTATCTGAAGGGAATGGGCTCTTGTCAGAGGTAGAGCTTATAAACAAGCCTTTGTTTGGTGATTACCGCCTAATTACCCCAAAAGAAAGTTTCTGACTGACATATATGTTATTTGTCTTATCTGGGGTAATCCGAGAAGCCAAAACAGACCGGGTCTATTTTGGCTTCCGGAGCCCGAGCATGGCTTCAGTCCACTCATTTGTCAGAGATCATAAACTAAAACTGAAATATGTATACAAACTACACATAAAAACTATATTTGTAGCTCAGAAAATACAGTAAAAATGAGTAAATAAAATATGTTATTTAATAAACTGGGTGGCATGGTGGCTCAGTGGTTAGCACTGTCACCTCACAGCAAGAATGTTGCTGCTTCGAGTACCGGCTGGGTCAGCTGCCATTTTTGTGTGGAGTTTGCATGTTCTCCCAGCATTCGCGTGGGTTTCCTCTGGGTGCTCCGGTTTCCCCCACAGTCCAAAGACATGCGCTATTGGTGAACTGAATAAACTAAATTGGCTATAGTGTATGAGTGTGTGTGAATGAGTGTGTATGGATGTTTCTCAGTGCTGGGTTGCAGCTGAAAGGGCAACTGCTAGTAGCGCACACATGCTTTTTAACAGTCGCGTGCATCACATCACATGCGAGTGATCATGCTTTCACTCTGTATTCACCATTCTTTTGCTCGAGCGAACATAGTTATTTTTGTCAGTCGTGCTGCTTCTCGATTCTAATATCACACTCGCACGAATATTGGGTCATGCTTATTGTTGAACCCTGCTTTTAAAAAAACTACAAATTAAAAATGACTTCCAACCAGCCAAAGTGGCTAGTGGAGGTGTGTCTAACCCGCCAGCGCTGAAATCTACCTGCATTTGTCAGGTTGGCGGGTGTTAATGTAAAGCCCTGCTTATCGTGTAAATTCATGTTTTTACATTGTACTTGATTAATTAAATACCTGCATGTTATTACATCCCTCACACCTTAACCCACCCTTAAACCTACCTATACCACCAAACTTGTCCCTAACCCTACCCGTATTCCAACTCAAGAGCAGCAGAAGTGTTCTGCAAGACATTCTAAACATAATAATAAGTATATTTAATAGGTATTAAATTATTAAATAAGAAGTGGGACCAAATGTTATTTTAATTTGCAATAATATTTGACAATTTGTCACCTTAGAATTATAAGGTTCTAACTGCCTTCTAAGTGAAGTTTATTCATAAACTAATTTCGAGAGGATCACGTGCTTATGATTTACCACGGCCAGTCTCGCATTTGCTAATCACTATCTTACAATCATATGAGCCCTAAGCTACTATAAATAGCCACAGTTTTCAGTTCACTTTATCTTCGTTTGGAAGAAACCCCCCTCCTCCCCTATTCTCCTCCTTTACCTCTGATTGGGCGGCACGGCGGCCCAGTGGTTAGCACTGTGAGCTCCACAGCAAGAACACTGCCAGCCCTGGTTCAACAGCACTGGTGGGTGTTTCTGTGAGGAGTTTGTATATTCTCCCCGTGTCTGCATGGGTTTCCCCGGGTTCTTCGGTTTCCTCCAACCATCCAAAGACATTTAACATACATAATAATCAAGCTTTATCTAACCCCTTGTGTTCCCTTACCTACCGCAGCAAGGGAGTTCTGAGATCCACCGAGCTCAGGCTCCCCTCTCGCTCTGCCAACGGGAGGAAGCTCCTCGAGCCCAGGGCTCTCTCCCGGGACAGCATGCCAAACATGCTTTTATAAATCATCAGCTAAGTGTAAACTCTTGAAATTATTTTGAAATATTGAGCTTCAAAGATTTTGCATTCCATATAACAAAACAATATGTGTGTAACAGTTCTCTTTCATACATTAACATGACAGAGACCCTAAAGGTACTCTAAATGTAAATTATCAAAGTTTTCTTACATTTGCAAATTGGAGTAAAAAACACTGTAAATGCAGATAGAAGCTTCTCATTCTGAAAAGCCATTTTCCACTTGGAATTATAAGGTTCTGTCTTACAGATCATTCATTGAAAAATTGCTTTTCAAGAAATACAATCCAAATATATATAATTTGCTGTTGTAACAATATGTTGATGCTTGAGAAAGTTAAAATTTGTGCTTTCTATAACATTTATTTAATGTATTAGGATGAATATTTTTACTTATTTTTACTGTGTTAAATATTTTATCCAGTGCAGATGTTCATTTTATGTAATTAATATGGTCATAATTATTAAACTTTATGCTTTATATAAATTATTGAATTATATTTATTGAATTTTATGCTATATTTATTGAATTATATGCCCCATAAATTAAATTAAGTATTTGCCCTTCAAAACTTGATATTAAATTTAAAGACTTTTAAAGAAAACAGACTATGAGCAAATGAGTTTAATAAACACTGTAAATTGTTTCACTGACTATATATACACAAATAAAAAATATTTCACATTTAATATATACATTTTTAAATATTTCGTTTCTATTTCAACAGTGTAAAATGTAACATTTAATCTCAATGTCAAAAAATGCTTCTAAATCATCACATTTACACACATATCAATTTGTGTGATGCGGCATTATTCAGCCGACTCGGATTTTGTATGATTTTTGGGTTTCTTTCTGGTCTTTCCCGCTGTCAATGAAGCAGTCTGGCAAAATGACAAAGAAAGCTGATCCTGATTGGTCCTCGTGTGTGCATTAAAAATGCTGATTAGCTCACAGAAAGAACCTTACAGAGCCAAGATAGAGTTCAACTTTGTAGATAAACCGTTTTTGTTTTTATTTAAAAAGTCTTAAAATGTAAACAACTTAAAAAAACACATCACATAATGTAAATAAGCTGTCATTTAATAAGAATATGTCAATAACTCAATTTTGACAAAAATGTCAGATAGAACCTTATAATTCTGTGGTGACGAATTACACAATTTTCACTGTACTTCTGATCAATTAAACACAGCATTGGACAGCTTATTTCAAAACATTTGAAAATCTTTGGACCAGTAGTGTATGTGTAATTGTGTCTTATCTGTGGTAACCTGAGAGGTGAAGTTGGCCTTTGGAGCTTGTCCATAACCACTAATATCTGTCAGAAATGAGAAAGCACAAACCTGAGGCTTTGCATGTGCGTGCGTCTGCCTCCAGCGTGTATCCATCCTGACAGTGGCAGCGGAAGGAGCCTCTCTCGTTGAAGCAGTGTTGGCTGCAGACGCCCGGCGGGTGACATTCATCAATGTCCTCACACGTCTTCGAGTCATTGCTCAGCTGGAAGCCCATGGGACACGTGCACTGGGCTCCGAACGGGCCCTGGATGCAGCCGTGAGTGCAGCCCGCATTATTGTCAGAGCAGCTCTCCTGATCTACAGCAAGGCAGAGAGGGTGGGAATCAATAAGAATCCAAAGACTAAACATGCTTGAAGATGCACAGTATTCTGGGGACATGCTAACACAACCATTAAGAGAGATGTTTACTGTAGGGCTGGGCAATATGGATTAAAAAATGGGTTATTTATATTCAGTATACAGTAAAATGTATATTTACATTAATTTCTTGTTGCATATATATGCATTTGAGGGCAAAATTATTATACATTTCATTCATTTCATTTTCTTGTCGGCTTAGTCCCTTTATTAATCCGGGGTCGCCACAGCGGAATGAACCGCCAACTTATCCAGCAAGTTTTTACGCAGCGGATGCCCTTCCAGCCGCAACCCATCTCTGGGAAACATATACACACACACTCATACACTACGGACAATTTAGCCTAATTCACCAGTACTGTATGTCTTTGGACTATGGGGGAAACCGGAGCACCCGGAGGAAACCCACACGAACGCAGGGAGAACATGCAAACTCCACACAGAAACGCCATCTGAGCCGAGGCTCGGACCAGCGACCCAACGACCTTCTTGCTGTGAGGTGGCAGCACTACCTACTGCACCACTGCTTCGCCTAATATAAATTTATTCTTTATTTAAATATTTCTTAAGTGGTATTTATTAGAGCAAGGGAATTTTCAAAGTATTTCCCATAATACTTTTTCTTATTTGTTTTATTTTAGCCGGAATAAAGTTATTTTGCTAGATTAGTTTCAATTTCGGCTTTGGTACTGGCTGATATATACTGTATATTCGCAAATATCTTATTGTATAGCATCCTATACAGTGTGTTCAAAAGAGAGATCTGTGTATGGGTGTGCTCGTCTATGCTGAGCATACACTGTATTTCCTCTAAATTGTATTAAAAAGTTCTACTTTTTTAACTATTAGAATTACTATATTTCATCCATAACCCACAGAAGATTTGAATAGTAGTTAATAGTTATATTAAAAAAGCAAGCACATGCAAACGAAAAGCCATCAGCCTTTAGATTATTTTTGTCATAGTATTGGTGTGTTTATGTTATTAACAACACACAGGGTTTATACACATTTTTACTACTAAAATTTAATGACTTTTCCAGGACTTTCAGGTAATTTTTAATGACCTAATGTTTCATGGAATGTCTACATATACATGGTAAATAATAAGAAAAATAATGCATGTTCAAAGTTATTAAAGCATATCATAAAACAGACAATCTATTTTGTTTAAATGAATCTTTATATCTATGTAAAATGTATTTAGATTATGCTTGCACAGCACTAATAATGTGAGAGCATGTGTTTGACCATGGACAGCAGGGCCGGGGCCTGCATTTTAAAGAAAAAAAAGCTAGAAAAATGTATAAGTCTTTTATTTAAGCTAGTTTCCAAAGTTAAAAATAATATTATACACATACAGTAATACACAAGAAATGCAAAATGGATAGTTTTTTTCAATTGTACAGATGTACTACAAATCAGTGAGTTACAATAAATAAAACTTTGCAAGAGAAGTGAACGTAAATATTACGGGAGAAAAATACACAAAAAAGTGTTTTATTTTAACATAGATGATTTACTTATTCTTGGTGACTAAACAGCAATTTTTGTCAATTAAATTCAAAAGAATAGTCAATATTTTTTCCACTAAACAGCGATTTATGTTTAATTATACATATAAATAAACAATTATGTTTAAAAAGTCACACAGGCAGTTATGTCAACATTATATATTGTGCAAGACCAATAATCCATCCGATTCTAATGTTATCACTTGATTAAATGGGCGTTATCAGTGGTTATCAGCTGATAGATATGGGCCAGTAGGAGCCTTCTGTGCCTACTGGTAGGCTCAAAAGGCTGTTATCATCCATCCACATGGTTAATCAGCTATACTGAAAAAGAAGACTCCAGATCCAGATCTGTTTTTACATTAATGTGACGATTGGGTTTAGGATTGAGGTAGGGGTATAGACATTAATAAATACAATTAATGGTAAAATGTAATAAATAATATAAATATTTTTTATTAACTTCCAGTTGCAGCTGTGTGTAATCTAAAGCTGATTAACCATGTAAATGGATGATAACAGCCTTCTGAGCCTAGAAGGCCCCTACGGGCCCATATCTATCAGCTGATAACCACTAATAACGCCCATTCAATCGAATGATAACATTCGAATCGGCTGAATAATCAAGTTCATGAAGTAATTATTGACCAATACAACAATCAATGACCATTTTTGTCAATTCAACTTAAAATAGTATATATTAAATTGTAAAAACACTAAAAAATCTTAGTTTTTACTAAATAAACAGACCAAATAATGATATACAAGCATTTTATATGCATACACACCCAAAAGCAATGCATAAAAACATGCTGTCTTTAAGCAAATGGAATAATTAATTTAAAAAGTACATTGAATTACCATAATATTTACAATGCTGCAGATATATTATTAATATTCGATATATTGCCCAGCCCAAACCTTTAAATCTGTTGTTTACTATTTCTGCATCTTGTATTGAGTGGTTGTGTACCATTTCTACACACTAAAACAAAAAAAGAAACTACTACAAACTACATCTCTAAGCATCTATTAGACTATAAACACACAATTTTGCCATATCTCCACACTCTGAAGGTAACTGAACGGTTAGTGAGTAAAGCAGGTGACACAGGGATAGATTAGTGTGTCATGCAGAGGATTGTGGGTGATTAGGGATTTATCCTACCTGGCAAAGGCTCATCTGTGAGAAGGGAAGGCAACATGGAAGGAAAATCACAGATCATTTCAATGTTAATTTCCAGATTAGCTAAACACATGCATGATTTGATGACACATTGGGATTTGTAACACAGGCGACATACTGTAATACGTTTTCAAGATTTGAATGTGAATAATTGAGTTCAGTGTGATATTACAGTACATACAGCATGGTTTTTGATTAGAACAGAAAATCATTTAGATGCTTATAACAATCCCGTTTAAAGATATTACATTTCAAATGAATCCACAATATAGATCAAGTTATTTTAACATTATTTATATACTGTTGTTGTATGAATTAATACTTTAAGCTTTCATTTTTGAGTTTTGAAATAAAATATTAATGTTCCTCAAGAAAAATACTATTTTGCATGTTAAATATAACATCCATTAATTATTTTTAGAAATGATGCAATAAATTAATGCAAAAACTTGTGATTATAATGTTACAAAACGCAAATGTGATTCCTTTAACCTACTAATCATCAAAACATCCTGAAAAAGTATATATTAGGGCTGCATAAATGGATATTGTGATTTATATATATATATATCCATACAAAGCACCATAATTTTTGGAATGATTATTGCTTAGAGTGTCATTCTAAAACTGTGAAAATCAGATTCTATTTCTCAATTTAAGACATGGTTAACTTATCTCACTCAAATATTGCACATGGAAAGAGTCCGTCATGGAGTTATTAATAATTTTTTTGATAATCGTTATTAATCATTTCTTGATCACCTGGACCAACATAATGCAGATTCTGAGCAGCAGTGTAATGCTTAATATGTTCACTACCTCTATTGACTGCCTCTTTGTATTTTCCTCGAAAACTGTTTATATGCCCTAATTGTTTTAAATAATAACCTAATTAAATGTATAACTTAAAAATATATTTTATTTATTAATCAATTTATTTATTAGTTTTTTTTGTTTGTTTATTGATTTGTTTATTTTTTCCTAATTTTAATTATTATTACCATTATTTTCTTTGTATTATCATGCTTATTCCTTGTATTTTCTTTTTTTTATGTTGTTTGGTAATTGTTGAAAAATGTAAAACTATAATAAAAGCACTTGTTAAAAAATCTGCTTTACATCACAGGAATAAATTACATTTTGAAAATTACATAAAAAAATAAACTTAATTTTTAAATATTTCTGAATGAACTTGTGACTTTAAAAACTGGGGAATCATGTAAAAGAATCAGCTTTGCATCACAGGAATAAGTTACAATGTAAAAATGATATATTTTTGCTTATTTCTGAACATACTTGTGACACTAAAGACTAGAGTAATAATAAAATCACAGGAATAAACTACAATAAAAATAAAACAAAAACAAATTCTGATTTTTTATATTTCTGAGTGAACTTGTGACACTAAAGACACTAAAAATACCATCACAGGAATACATTACATTTGAAAAATATTCCAAGAAAATGTTTTTACAAAAAAAAAAAAACATTTATTAATATTACCATCTTTACTGTTATTTTTGCTCAAATAAATAGAGACTTCTTCGAAAAATTCTAACAACAGTCTAAAACTCAATACAAAACTCTATAAATCTGCAGTCAAATATAAGTGAGGACTTACTGCAAAGCGGGGACTCGTCGGCTCCGTTGGGACAATCTGGAGTGTTGTCACACACCCTGCTGAGGTTCACACACACGCTATGCCCGGGACACTGCCACTGCCAGCTGGGACAGCGAAACGGTGGTGTGGGACAGTCCCGCTCGTCGCTCCCATCCCGACAGTCGTTATCTCCATCGCAGATCCAGCCACGGTAAACACAGTTGCCGTTGTCGCAGCGGAACTGCGTGGTGGGACAGGTGCGCGGTGGACACGCGTGATGCTCGTCTGAACCGTCCTCACAGTCCGGATGACCGTCACATTCCCAATTCACTGGCACACAGCTGCCATCTGACTGGCACTGAAACTCACTCTCATGGTGGCACATGCCCGGAGGCCTAGTGGCTGGAGGGGTCAAAAGGTCATGATGAATAAATATGAGATAATATCAGCATATAATACAAGCTTTCTGAGGTTAATGAGATTCATTAAAGACAAAATTCACTCAAAAATGACAATTCTGTCATCACTTTTATAGTGTTTTTTCTACAATGGATGTCAGTGGTTACAGTTTCCAACATTCGTCCAAATATCTTCTTTTGTGTTCAACGGTAAACAGTAAAAACTTAAAGGGCCACGAAACCCCCCTGTTTCCGCAGGGTGCTTTCAAAACTCTAGTTTAGAAAAAGGGTCACACTTTACAATAAGGTTCATTAGTTAATGTTAAGTAATGCATTTACTAACATGAACAAACAATGAACAATACATTTACTACAGTATTTGTTCATGTTAGTTAATGAAAATACAGTAATTCATTGTTAGTTCATGTTAACTCACGGTGCATTAACTAATGTCAACAAGCATGGACTTGGATGTTAGTAATGCATTAGTAAATGTTCAATTATGATTAATAAATGCTGTACATGTGTTGTTCATGATTAGTTCATGTTAGTAAATGCATTAACTAATGAACCTTATTGTAAAGTGTTACCATAAAAAGTCAGGAAGGTGGGCGTGTCCAGCTCTGTTTATGGGGGAGTGTCAGAGGAGGGAAAGAGGGAAGGTTTTGCATAAAATTTTGCATAAAAATGGGAGTTTCGATTTGGGCACACGCTGATTTTCACAGAGGCTAACAAACACACAGACGCAAGGGAGAAAGACAGTGACTGTGCTTACATGAATATCAGAAATCGAATTATTTGACAAATGATTAAATGGTGAATTGATGGAAGAGTGTATTTTTATTGCAATGTTTGATACTGCACGGCGAATAAGACAAAAAAAAACAACTTTGCTTTTCTTGGTAACTTAGATGCACTCGGCTGCGTCAGAGAGCCGTGTGTGTTATTCCAGTCACAAGATGCAGTGAAAATCCTACACGATGGTAATAGTTTGGTGTTTACATGTTTACACTCGGTGAGCAGCATTTACAGCTGATCTTTCAGTCCATAATATTGTAGTGATATTAACGTGCTGTAAACTTTAGTAACTTAGAAATCATTTGACTAAGGTCCGTCTTTAAACACTGAAAGAGCACTGCTGACGATACAAACAAACTTTGCCATCTGAATAAACAAACAAAGACTACTGATCGCTTACTTACCAAATCTGTAGAGACAGTACAATCAACACCAACTGGAGCTGCGTCTTTATTACTAGGAGACGAGCAGCAAATCCGGATTTCACCATTTCCATATGCGAAAAGCTCTCGGGTAAAAAATGTTCCTCAGACAGGTATTTTTGTTGAGCATTGCGTGCACTGTAATCCACATGTGAGTCCAGCTGCGCTCTCATAGCAAGAAAATGAAAACAAAACCTTCCTTGCAGCAAATTATAAAATCAACACTGATGACTCATATCTCCAAACAATTCTTCTTCTCCCACTTGTTTTGGCAACACAATGTGGTGTCTCTCTCTGCCATCTGAACACTGTACAGGTACAAACAGTCTTCGAAGCTATCATGCATATTAATGAAGTTGCACCACGTACACAATAGAGCGCGCTGATTGGTTTGAGCCAAGTCTTTCTCGTTAATGAATGCAGCACACTCAGAGACATCACGAAGTACTCCCAGGTAAAGACAGCCAGTCTACACGCAAGGATCTAATTGCTGTGATGTAGCTTCAAAAATTTGTTTCAAACCGGAAGAACGAATTTGCTCGAAATAACGCAAAAACAACCAACTTTCACTTTTTTTGTCAAATACATGTGTCCTAATAGTGTTTTTAGCAGTGTAGGACACATATACGACTGTCAACAGCTCAAAACATGTGTTTTGGTATTTCGTGACCCTTTAAAGATGTTTGGAGCAAGTCTAATATACTTACGACAACCAGATTCATCAGAGCGGTCATTGCAGTCAAAAACGCCGTCACATCTGTAGTACGAGTTCACACACTGATGGCCGTTTGCACACTTAAACTCATAGGCTGTGCAGTTGTACACTGGCGAGGAGAAGAACAAGACACACTCATATTAAAATAAACAGGGCAAAACTAAAAATGTGACACAGTTTTTATTATTTTATTTTACATACACTACAAGGATTGCTTTTTTGCCAACTTTGAAAAGTACTGTGTGCAGAATTACATCTGGATGAATGAATCTGTATTTGAATGAATCAGTTGAGTCACTGATCCAATTACCCATCCATTAATACACGTTAGTTCTCAATAAATCCGCTGTATTGAACAAATCATTTCATTCATTCGGAGAATTGCTTGTGACAGGGACTAACTTATTTTGTGGAACCATTATATGTTGTATTAATTTAATTTATACAACAGTTCTGTCTGGTTCTTGAATCTGATTGGCTGTGCGATGTTTTGCCAGTAACATCACACAAAGGCCTCTTCACCCTTCACCTCTGTGTATTACTCCGCCCACATACAGCAAGCAACAAGCAGAGATGCTACAGTTTGACAAATATTACTGTTGTTAGACAACAAAATGTACTTTTGAGGCTTTTTTAGTCGAGAATGTAGTTGCTTAGATTGCAATTATGCAGTTTATTTGTAAGAATAGTGCCTATTTTAAAATCTTTACAATTTCTGAGAGCTCGTTGGCGGCCAAAGATGGTTGACGTTGTCTATCCACAAGATGGCGCCAGAACCGCATAATAAGCCCTTGCTCAGTGTGTTAACTTGAGTGCAAATTAAAAAGCTGAAAAACAGAAGCCTCGTGGTTTTTAAGGTGGACCGGAGAGAGTCAATAAGAAGCTGCAAATAAGAAGCTGGATTCAGCCTCGTCCCTCCTTATCGCAAACACAACAGCAGTCTGGTAAGTTAGTGATTGCTCTGTTTTTTTCTAGGTTAATTATTGTGATATTGTAACGGTCGCTTAATGTTTGATATGCATTGTGTATGAATGTCCCCTTTAGGAGACATCTCTGTATCTCTGCAGACGGATGGCATTTCATGTCACGTTCAGTCTTATAATCTTAAAATGTGAGCAAAATTTGCTGTTTTGTCATCACCTTAAGGCGGGTCACACACCAGAGCACCGCTTCACATTATGCTCTAGAGAATGATTCAAACACTAGCTCTAAAGTGAAGTTGGTGAATTACTAACGGCTTTTGCTGTTCTGACGTCAGCTGCAGATGTGAATGAATGGCGGAAGAAAGTAGTTCCTAAAACAAAAGGGTTTTAGACTCTCCGTGTTTGATTTTCTTTTTAATGTACAATATTGTGCCGTCAAACTGTTGTATAAACGCAATATTACACTCGTAGCAGTGTGCTATAGCTGTATATCAGCACTGGTGGGGTGGTAAGGATCTCGGCCTGCGGCCTCGTGCCAATGCACGCCTCCCACCAGTGCTGATATACAGCACACTGCTACGAGTGTAATATTGCTTATATATTTTGTATTGATTTATTTTTAAACGTCGTCTTTGAAATGTATTATTTGTTCATCCAGGACACTCTTGAAAAAGAGATTACGGATCTCAAAAGGTTTTTCTGGTAAAATAAATGTTTCAATAAAAAAATACAAATTAAATACTGTTATAATTCTGTTAATCTCATTAAATAATCGACATTTGGCCTGAAATCGAGTCATAATTCAGCATATTTACAGTACATTTCGGAGTTAACCATTCGTTCAAAGAGATGAATAGAGCTCTTACCACAGCCTTGTTCATCTGCACCATCAGCACAATCTCTGTCTCCATCACACACATAATTAGGGTCGATGCAGCGATGGTCTGGACACTGGAACTGACCAGGGTAACACGTGCCAATCGAATCTACAAAAAAAAGTGACAACAGATATCCACACACATACATATAAATATATACAGTGGGGGAAATAAGTATTGAACATGTCATGTTTTTTCTGGGAATAATATTTCTAAAGGAGCTGTTGACATGGAATTGAACCAGATTTTGGTAAAAACCCAAAGAATACAAACATAAACATAAAAAAAATATATTTTAATAATCTGAAAAAAGGTCTTTGTAATAACAATTGAATGACACAAGGAGAACTACTAAACTAGAACTACTAAAATGTATTTAATAGTTTATATAAAAGGCTTTTGTAAAGATGGGAGCATAAAGACGCCTCTCATATGGAGAAAGAAGTGACATGAACTGCTCAGATGTGAGTTTTTCACAGACTTCCGCTGCTGTCTGGGCTTTCCATGCCTTTCTACTCCTTCCGTTCTTCATGTGTTCAATACTATTTCCCTGTGTCATTTCATTTTATTACACATAGCTTAATTTGTAAACAAAGTAGTTTATTTTTATTTGCATATATGGATTTCTTTGGTTGTTACCAACATCCGGTGAAAATTAAAAGTCATCGGCACCTTTATAAATATATTTTCTGAGAAAAATAGTGATGTGTTCAATACTTATTTCCCCCACTATATATGTAAATATAAACACAATTAGAAGCTATGGGAAAAACAAGAGACCACTGGAACATTATCAGCTTTCAAACATTTACTACATAAGAGTTTCAGTAAAATATTGAAATTTGCTTTATTCAATAGACGTCTAATAACACTTCTTGCAAATGTCTAATAATAATATTGTCATTTAAAAGGTTTGTGAAAATCAGTGTTATTCCACCAAATATAGATATTTTATTTTTTCCTGAAGTGCAAATGTTTTTTGTTGTCTAAAAACGAACGTAAACATGTCTGAAACCATGGCAGCTTTTTAATTGTATGCAAAATTAGGTTTTACTAAAACTTATAAATAGAACTTTAATTTTAATAAAAATGCTCATTTAAATAAATTACACTACTTGAATTATGAAGTGAAATAAATATATTATGCTGATTTAATAAGATTTTTTTAAATCAAATGAAAAAAGTTACAATATATTTATATATACAAATGCAGTTAAAGTCAGAATTATTTGCCCCCCTGATTATTTTTCCCCAATTTCTGTTTAACGGAGAGAAGATTTTTTCAGCACATTTCTAAACATAATAGTTTTAATAACTCATTTCCAGTAGCTGATTTTTTTATCTTTGCCATGATGACAGTAAATAATATTTGACTAGATATTTTTCAAGACACTTCTATACAGCTCAAAGTGACATTTAAAGGCTTAACTAGGTTAATTAGGTTAACTAGGCTGGTCAGGGTAATTGGGCAAGTTATTGTATAATCATGGTTTGGTCTGTAGAAAAATATAGCTGTAACGCCGGGGGTGACACACACAACTGGAGGTAAGATCCACAATGCAGGTTTATTCAGCGTCAAGCGAGCAATGGTCAAATCAGGTGTAAACAGGTATGTGCAGGCAAATCCAGAGTCGTAGTCGTATAACAGGCAATAGGTCATAAGGCAGGCGGCTAAACAGGAGAACAAGGATAAACAATGCTTGGGTATAAAATTCGGAGAAACGAGACAAGGAGAAACGCGTTGTAATGTCACTGATAGCGAACAAGACTCCGCAAACTGCATGGGTGAATGAGTGGCTTAAGTAGAGAGTGCAATCAGTCTCTGACAAGCCTCAGGTGGTGAGAATGTAATCAGTCTAGATGAGTGAGCATGTGTGAGTGTGACCGGAGAGCATGTAGGAATATGTAGTCCAAGAGAAGGCGGAAGTGTAGTCCATGGATATTGTGAGAGAACCAGCGATCTCTGGAGAATGATCGCTGGTTATCGTGACAATAGCTTAAAGGGGCAAATAATTTTGTCCTTAAAATAGTGTTTAAAAATTAAAAACTGCTTTTATTCTAGCCAAAATTAAACAAATAAGACTTTCTCCGGAAGAAAAAATATTATCAGGCATACTGTGAAAATTTCCTTGCTCTGTTAAACATCATTTAGGAAATATTGAAAAAAAAAAATTCAAAGGGGGCTAATAATTCTGACTTCAACTGTATATATATATACAGTTGAAGTCAGAATTATTAGCCCCCTTTGAATTTTTTTTTTTTTTTTCAATATTACATATATGTTTTAGCATGCACTGTGCCCTGGAATTGTCTTTTTTATGAGATTCATCCATTTATATATAATGTAGATGTAATGCAGTTTTATAAACAATTAAGACTTCTTCAGGACTATATAGCTTCATTGTTTATTCTGTTCATCCCAAATATTGATTTTGTAAATGTCTTAGTTCAGGTTGGCATGGTAGCTCAGTGGTTAGCACTGTTCCCGGCTGTGTCAGTTGGCTATTCTGTGTGGAGTTTGCATGCTCTCCTCATGTTGGCGTGAATTTCCTCCACAGTCCAAACACATGCGCTATAAGTCAATTGAACCTAACCTTTGTTAGTACTATTACTACAAAACAACTCTTTATTTTAACTTTGGAAGAAATGCTATAATATTTTATAGAAAGAAAAACTAAAATTAAGTTTTACTCAAACACATAACTATAATGTGTAAAACCCTAAAGCATTCTTTTAATTGTTTCCAAAGATGTGTGTATCAAAATGTACTGTATACAAGAATTAAAATGCACACTTTAAAACGTAAGAGTGTGTGAGGCCTCACCGCAGTTGTTTTCGTCTGATCCATCTCCGCAGTCGTTGTCGGTGTCACAGAGCCAAGTGCGAGGGATGCAGTAATGGTTGGCACAGATGAACTGGTCTGCCGGACATGTGCCAGGGGTCTGAGTGGGACAGTCCCTCTCGTCACTGCCATCAAAACAGTCATTGTGTCCGTCGCAGTGCCAGCTTCTGGGCACACATCGCTGATTGGCACAGGTGAAGGCAAGGGGCGAGCAAGTGTTATCTGTGAGCCAGTATAGAAAGGGAGTTAGGTTTAGTTTCACTGTAAATAAAAAAGACTAATTAAAAAGCTTTGATATTTTTACAAGGCCGCATGATATTGGGAAAAATCTGACATTTCGATATTTTGTTTTTGCTGCAGGGTAAATTGCGATATGAATATAATTTCACCAGATGATTTGAATAACTCTATTTGGAAAGATTTCATTAATTTAGATCAGCTGGGACAATCAAGTCATTTTCCATGAGTGCAAATAAACAGTGCTATATGGTTTTTTGGGGAGTCTAACAGTATTCAAGCCTATACCTTTCGACTGGGATGGTCTATTCCTTTTTTATGCAGTGGATCGGCATTATTATAATAAATTACAATCAAAAATAAATAAACAAACAGTGCTTTATGATTGGTGTGGGTGCTCCGGTTTCACCCACAGTCCAAAAGCACGTGCACACATAGGGCTCAACCTGTGCAGTGCACATGCCCTTTTTAGTCTTAGATAGAAAGTGCCCGCGACACACCCTCCGTCCCGCCCTTCATTAGGCGCGCGACAACACCGCTCTTGAGCACAACAACAACAACACCCCCCCTCCCCCCTCTCCCTCCCCCCGCTCTTCAAAAAATTTATCCTGCACATGCCCTCTGGACGGTCTCTTCTGCACGGGCCTGGCTATAGGTGAATTGGGTAAGCTAAATTGGCCGTAGTGTATGTGTGTGAATGAGAGTGTATGGGTGTTTCCGAGTGATGCGTTGCAGTTGGAAGGGCATCTGCTGTGTAAAAGGAGTAGAGTTTGTATGAAATTGTGTAGCGCAAATGATAAATTACAGTAATTTACGTACACATTACAGGTACTAACTGTGACAATAAATGGCAAATTACTGTTCAACCATTACTGTCCCATCTACTTTGATAATTTATGTTGCTTATTACAGAGACGTGCATTTTAAAGGCAGAAAACAATGATTTAGGCATCACCAGACACTCCTACAGGCTGTCTTATTCTTAACAAAAAAGTTTTAGAAGTTTTAGTTTTCAGAAAATGCTGGCCCTTTAAGGGAGTCAGGTGTTTGATTCGTTTACTATATAGCTTCATTGTTTATTCTGTTCATCCCAAACATCGATTTTGTAAGTGTCTTAGTTCAGGTTGGCATTGTGGCTTAGTGGTTGGCACTGTTCCCGGCTGTGTCAGTTGGCTATTCTTTGTGGAGTTTATACAAGCTATACAAGCTGCTGCGTAAAAAAACATACTGTATGCTGGATAAGTTGGCGGTTCATTCCACTGTGGCGACCCCTGATTAACAAAGGGACTAAGCTGGAAAGAAAAAAATGAATATCTTTTAATCTTTATTAAATAACCTAATCCTGCGATGTGACAATTGCAGATGCACACATTGTAATATCGATTCTCAAACGATATATTGTTCAGCCCTATTGTGTGTGTGTGTGTATTGCCATACCCACAGAAATCTGATATATGGCAATATATGCAAATTACATTTATGACATAATAAATTATGCGTCATATATGCAACATATATTTTGAGTTATTGAAAAACAAGCAACTTTCATGCCGTTATTAACCACTGGAATTACAAGTTGAAATATATCAGCTTTAGTTTTATGTATGTGTTCAAATACAAGTTCAAAAAATTTATAATACAGGGGTTCCTTGATATAATACGGTTCACCTTTCACAGCCTCGAAGTATTAGGGATATTTTTGAGGCAATTCAACATGCTTTTTTACAGCACATTGTGTTCTGCGTCCTGATTAGTGCATTGTGTTTTGTGTCCTGATTGGCTGTAGATCACTGTCAATTAATCTCGGATAAATATTTGCATGCAGTATGACTCTGGGGTGTGCTACTCTATGTTTGCAAGTTTTCTTCTCAACAAACCCCACAATGTCAACGAAAAGTCCTGCACCATTATAGGAAACTATGGTATCACCCAAAAGGCAGAGGAAGATGCAAACCAGCACACAAAAAGTTGGACTTCCGGACATGCTAAAGGAAGGTAGACTTAGGGCGCTATTATGGAATAAATGAATCTTCTCAAACAAATGTTTGGGCCTGAAAACAGGTTTTGATCTTTGGTAACATTCTATAATACTGGGCTTATTGATGCATGCATGTTATTTTATATTATTTGTAATTTAGTATTACTTTTAAATATATTTCTTTGTATTTTTAATACCAGTTTTTTTTGTTTTGTTTTTTTGTCTAGTTTATTTTATTGTAAAGCACTTTGAATCAACTGCAGTTGTGTAAAATTGTGCTCTATAAATAAAGTTTGCCTTGCTTTATTTTTCTATGAAAGTTTGAACTTTAAGAGTAAAAAGTGTGAAAATGTTAAAGCCTCTCTGAGAAAGTGTATCAAGTGTGAAGTGAGGGGTTTTACAGCCTTAAAACATCTAATAATTGTAAAAATAAAGCTGACTACTTTCGGATTTCACCTATTGCAGGTTAATTTTATAACAAAACTTCCGCGAGTAACGAGGGACCACTGTATTAAGAAAATCACCTATTAGGTTTTTTTTTTTTTTTCAAGTTTTTTCAAATTGAGCAGTGCATAATCTGCATATTATTAAAAATATATAGAATTGTTGATATATTTACAGTAGTACATTTATTAAACGTCTCTTTACTTAATACTCCAATGATTTTAGGCGTAAAGAAAAAATAAAGAAAAAATAAAAATCGGTAATGGTCTATTAGTTTACATATTTACTAACATGAACAAACTATTAGTAATACATTTATTACTGTATTTATTCATCTTTGTTAATGTTAGTTGATGTTATTTAAGTTAAATAACAGTTCATGTCAACTCAAGTCGCATTTACTAATGTTAACAAGCACATCTTTCGATTTAAATATTGCATTGGTAAATGTTAAACTATGATTTATAAACTGAGTAGAAAATTCATACTTACTTAATATCAGTAAATACATTAACTAACATAAACCATTATTCTAAAGTGTTATCATTTTAACCAATACTAGCTTTTTTGCCATTGGCTATAACAAATAAAGCCTAATTTTGGGCTTCAGGTTAAACATTTGTATGGAATATAAATAAAAAGCATTACTATGAGCGCCGCAGTGTGCTTCGTCACTGTTATCGTGACAGTCATCGACGCCGTCACATTGGTAGCTGTGTGGGACGCATTTCCCGTTTGAGCATGAGAAAGAGTTGGAGCCGCACTGGAGAGTCGGCGGCTCGTTTGACGGATCGTCAACACACGTCTGCTGATTGGCTTCCAGCTTCATTCCATACGGACAGCCACACACTCTTTGGGAGTTTGGTGCAGGGAAACAAAAGTGACTGCAGTCTCCATTTGGGTTAGTTTGCCGGCTGCAGAAGTTAAACCCTGTTGCCGGAAAAAAAAAAAAGCAATGCATATTAATCACTTAATACACATACAGTTAAAGTCAGAATTATTAGCCCCCCTTTGAATTTTAAATTTTTTAAAATATTTCCCAAATGATGTTTAACAGAGCAAGAAAATGTTCACAGTATGTCTGATAATATTTTTTTTTTCTTCTGGATAAAGTATTATTTGTTTTACTTCGGCTAGAATAAAAGCAGTTTTAAATTTTTTTAAATCCATTTTTACGCCAAAATTATTTGCCCCTTTCAGCTATATATATATTGTTGATACTCTACAGAACAAACCATAGTTTTACAATAACTTGCCTAATTATTCTAACCTGACTAGTTAACCTAATTAAACTAGTCAAGCCTTCTAATGTCACTTTATGCTGTATAGAAAAAAAAACTTATCTCCGTTAAACAAAAATTGGGGGAAAAATAAACAGGGGGTCTAACAATTAAAGGGGGCTAATAATTGTGACTTCAACTGTAAGCCAAACGGTTAAATTTTACAATAAGGTTTCATAAGTTACTGTATTTACTAACATGAACTACTAATGAATAATCTTGCACAGCATTTATTAACCCTTGTGAACTGTTCAAATTTACAAACCTTTTGTTATGTTCGGTATGAAAATATCCGCTGAGTTAAACTGCTGTAAAAACACATCTTTAATTCCCAAATTCATAAATGATGTCACTGATTGGTGAAAAAAACAACAAAATGACGTATTTTCTATATAAAAAGTAGGTGTAGACTGTGTTTTTATTACAGTTTTGGACGTGTGAATGATTAGTAACAACATTGGCTTTGATCCATTGTTAGATTTTCATTTTTTCTCCCTAATTTACTGTTGGTGGCTGTTTTTGCCCCATTGAATTCCATTATAAGCACATTTGATGTTGCATAAATACACAGTCTTTGTTTTTGTTTACTCAGTGTAGTTCTGAGAGCTGAGATGCATTTTTTTTTATTTTCTAAGACACATTAAGGTAAATGTAGACAGGGGTACGTATTCACAATGAGCCTGTGTTGTTGATTATTGTTAGGAGTATTTATGAATGCTATGCAAAATAATGTAAGTCAACAATAAGAGATAGTAAAGAAATAGCAAAAGGAGAAAATAACAGGTCAATTTCACCAACTGTATGACTAAACTATTCTGATTGTTTTTTATTTGCTGTATTTGTATCTTAAGCTTCTTTGTGCAGATCTAAAAAAATCCCAAAAGTGACTCTCACCAATTTGTGAGTCGGCATTGAATGATTTGACATGCATGATGTGGCTGATCCCTCGACGAATGGTCATCATCTCTCCTCCATCTGTTTTACGGACCCTCACGATTCCTCCCAGCCGCCAGTCAGTGAAGTACACGTAACCTGGACCAGAAAAATTCATTAAAGTAATCGAGCAGGGCATCTCTAAGAAATACCAGTCCATGAACTCTGACTTCTGCACTTCAATCTTTCAACGCTGAACTGATGAATTACACTGAGGTTTAAAGAAGTGGCTTAGAGATCGTCATTGCACAAATACCAAACATGACAATCACTAAAGGAGCCATTAAGGCTAACGTGTTTAAGATGACATTGTGTTGCTGACAGGCATCAGGGAACAGCGAAAGGAACATTTCATCAGTCAGTGGGTTTCATTTAGGCTGTTTTTAAAATGTCAGTCACATGTCAACAAGGACATACAGATAGATCAAAATAATGATATGTGGAATCAATAACGTACAGAATGAAAGAATGAAAAATTAAACAAACAGAACTGAAATAACTTACTAATGAATGAACGATAAACAGGCAGAACAAATAACAACATGATCAAATAAATGAACAAAGTAACTGATGGATGGATGGACTGATGGATGGATGCATGGATGGATGGATGGATGGATGGATGGATGGATGGATGAATGAATGAAGGAAGGATGGAAGGAAGGAAGGAAGGAAGGAATGACAGTCAAACAGACACATTAAATAAATGAAAGACAGATGGATCAAATTAATGAAAGAATGAATGACAGATAGATGGTTGAAATAATAATGACAGATCAAATGAATGAATGAATGTATTAGTGAATGAATGAATGAATGAATGAATGAATGAATGACAGATTAAATGAATGAATGAGTGACATACATGAATGAATGAATGAATGAATGAATGAATGAATGAATGAATGAATGAATGAATGAATGAATGAATGAATGAACGAATGAACGAATGACAGAAAGAGACAGATGGATAGATATATGGATACAATGAATAATTGAATGAATGTATAAATGAGACAGATCAAATAAATGAATGAAGGAAGGAAGGAAGACAGGAAAGACAGACAGATCGAATGAATGAATGAATGAATGAATGAATGAGACAGACAGACAGACAGATCAAATGAATGAATGATTGTATGAATGAACGAAAGAACAAGGAAAAAATGACAGACAGACAGACAAATAAATTGAATGAATGAATGAATGAATGAATGAATGAATGAGACAGACAGACAGACAGACAGATCAAATGAATGAATGATTGTATGAATGAACGAAAGAACGAGGAAAAAATGACAGACAGACAGATAAATTGAATGAATGAATGAATGAATGGATTGATTGATTGATTGATTGATTGATTGATTGATTGATTGATTAATGACAGATCAAATCAATGAATGAAATAGATCAAATTAATAAATGTATTAATTAACAAAATAAGGAAGGAATGACAGAGACAGACAGACAAAGTTCAAATAAGTGAATTTAATGAATGAATGACAGATCGAATTAATGAATGTCATAGATCAAAGGAATGGATGGATGGATGGATGGATGGATTGATTGATTAATTAATGACTGAATGAGACAGTTCAAATGAATGAATGAATGAATGAATGAATGAATGAATGAATGAATGTATAAATGAATGAATGAATGAATGAATGAATGAATAAACGACGAAAGGAAGGAAGGAAGGAAGGAAGGACGGACGGACGGACAGACAGACAGATCAAATAAATGAATGAATGAGACAGACAGACAGAAAGATCAAATGAATGAATGAATGAATAAATGAGTGAATGAATGATTGAATTAATGAATGAATGAATGAATGAATGAATGAATGAATGGATGAATGAATGAATAAAAGAATGAAAGAACAAAGGAAGGAATGACAAACAGACAGATCAATTAAATGAATGAATGAATGAATGAATTAGTTAATGACAGATCAAATCAATAAATGACAAAAATCAAATAAATGAATGTATTAATGAATGAATGAATGATAGACAGATCAAATTAATGAATGACAGAGAGATATATAGACACAATGAAAGAATGAATTAATGTATGAATGAGACAGATTAAATGAATGAATGAATAAATGAGTGAGTGAGTGAGTGAGTGAGTGAGTGAGTGAGTGAGTGAGTGAGTGAGTGAGTGAGTGAGTGAGTGAGTGAGTGAGTGAACAAATGACAGACAGACAGACAGACAGACAGACAGACAGACAGACAGACAGACAGACAGACAGACCGACAGACAGACAGACAGACAGTATAATAAACAGAACAACAGGTTGACTGATAAACCCACCTCCAAAAACAGTGAGCCCAAACGGGTGTGAGATCTGAGTGATTCGGTCCAAAGACAACCGGTTCTGTCCATCAAAGTTGCTGTGCTCGATCTTATCAAAGAAGGCGTCCACCCAATACAAGCGCATGGCACTGAGAGGACACACATGATGATGACACATGAAGACGGAGAGCTGGATTACAGCAGATCATTAATTTTAAGGAGATTATGAGGAGAGGGTGAGCACCGCACACACAAATACACAAACAATGATGAGTCACGGATTTAGGAAGTCACCAAAGTTAAACCAAATAAGACAGATTGAGATAGATTATCGTTTGGGGTATTATGGCAGGGTTACTACAGGTTTAACCAAGTGAAATCTAAGATTTTAAGACCTATTCAAGACCATTATGTAGGCATGTAACAATTTATTGTGGGCCGTTTAAAAATAGATTCAAAGCTTTTGTGTTTACATGCACAAACTTGTTTTACCTGCACAATAGCAGCGAGCAAGAGGTGTGGCGGCAGACTAAGTGTACCAGATATTCACAAACTGTGTGCAAATACTGCAAAAAGATGTTTACTAACACTAAGAGAACAACGAATATGATCCAGCAGAGTGAAAAACTACTGCCACAGACATCTATACGCAAAAAACTATTAACAAGCCAAAACACACGGACCGGATGATTTGCAGCTCCGCTTGCTCCCACAACATTATGGAGATCAGTGTTTCAAAGTGAAAAGTGAAGATGTTTTTCAGACTGAAAGAGAATTTGCTCCCACCAGATCTGAGATCACCTGAGATCTCTCTCGTACCCACAAATATCTCTGAATGGCGGAGGACACCATATATAAACCATAGGGGCAAGCTGCGATGACAGCCCTTTAAAGACCTGTGTAAAATCTTTTAGGAATCACAACACAATATGTTTAAGACTATTCAAGACCTAATATTATATTTAAGACATTTAAAGACTGCATGAGCATAATCAAATTCTGTATTGTTGTGTTGACTCACCTCCAGTCTATGGCCAGGCCGTTGGGCCAGCCGAGAGTGGTGTTCACTATAGACTGAGCATGTGAACCATCACCCCAGGCCCGCATGATCTTCGCAGGACGATACCAGTCAGTCCAGAATATAAACCTGCCAAGCACAGAGATGCACACATCACTAAAATGAAGTATTTCAGATAAAAACTAAAAAGCTATAAAAAGAAGCTCTCTTTTGATTACTTTTATTATATATTACATGCTTTTGCAGTGCTTCACACAGGTTTGAAATATACATGCAGTGGTAGCCGAATTGAAACACACCATTTACCCACATCAAAAAAATAGATAACTATATGCGGCAAACAAAAGATAATTTCATTTTTAACAAAAGTACTTGATTATGGCACTGCTACCTTTAAATGGGATGAAGTAAAAAAAAAAAGATTGTTGAAATAAAAAAAGAAATCTACTATTTCTCTTTTATTCTATTCAGGCGCCATGTGCACCCTCTGACAGGTCAAATCTGCCTCTCTCTCTCATTCAAGTTCAAAGCGAACTTGAACGCCAAAGCATTTTGGATATGTATGTAAAATAGCCTATGTAATATGTTGACATCATCAAATTAATAAAATTTACAGCAAATGAGAAATAAAGGACAGCAAAAAGAAGACACTACAAGATTAAACGTGTAGTTTATTAAGATAAGGCAAATGTGTTGATTAACTATTACCAATGGCGTACATATATTTTACAGCAAGTTCATAGACCAGTCATTTTGTCCTCTCTGAGTATATAGTATAGTTTTTCGGAGTCGTTAAGATTAAAGAATTAATTATTTAATGCTTCTCTCGCAGTCAGTTGCGAAGCCAAGCGAAAGTAGGATTAAATAAAAATGTGATGCAAAAATGCATACGATTAATGACCGCAAAATCCAAATCCATGATATTTCAGGAGATTTAATTTTTAATTGAATTTAATTTCATAAGCCCAAAAAAGGCGCGTCTCTTTGGGTCTGCAGAGCATGTGAGACTGTCTGTTTTGACAGATTTTGTGCACACAGAACGAAACAGGCAAACGGCAGAAAATTTTCCACTACTCAATTAATCGCGAATGTTTGACTATATTGGCAGATACAAAAAAGGGTAAAAGGAAGATAATAATAGAAAAAAGTGACACTTAATATGCTTGAGTGACTGTTAATATACCTGGACAGCCGGCCCAAGTAAAGTGGGAAGCACTGAATTATAATGAATGAAAAATAGAGCTTTCAGCTTCAGAAAAAACACTTGACCAAATAATTTTTGATATATAATTTTTACAAAAAGTAAATAATGTTCAATGAGGCTGCATTTATTTTATCATAACACAATAAAACCAGTAGTATGTAACAGTAAAATGCTGTTAACTTAGCAACTAACTAAAGAAATTATATTACATGCATATTACCTGAATTCTTTTTCATTTTAAAATATGTCTTGGCAAATAAGTCGACCTTTTTTAATAAAATAAAATAAAATAAAATAAAATAAAATAAAATAAAATAAAATAAAATAAAATAAAATTAATAAATAAATAATAAAATGGGCGACGCAGTGGCGCTGTAGGTAGTGCTGTCGCCTCACAGCAAGAAGGTCGCTGGTTCGAGCCTCGGCTGGGTCAGTTGGCATTTCTCTGTGGAATCCCCACAGTCCAAAGACACACAGGTACAGGTGAATTGGGTAGGCTAAAATTGTCCATAGTGTATGTGTGTGAATGAGTGTGTATTGTGTTTCCTAGGGATCGGTTGCAGCTGGAAAGGCATCCGCTACATAAAACATATGCTGGATAAGGATAAGTTGGCGGTTTATTCCGCTGTGGCGACCCCGGAATAATAAAGGGACTAAGCTGAAAATTAAAGAATGAATAAAATAAATAATAATGTAAAAATAAAAATTATATTAAAATTAAAAAATTTAAAAATTTAAAATTAAATAAAATAATTTAAAAAAAAAAAATTTAAAAAAAAAATAAATAAAATAAAAACATAAATTAAATACATGTAATTAAAATAAAATAAAGATAAAATTAAAATATAAAGAAATTAAATAAAAATAAAATTAAATAAAATAAAAATGTAAACTAAACACATAAATTAAATAAATGTAGTTTAAATAAAATAAAAGTAAAATAATAATGTAAAAATAAAATAAAATAAAAACATGAAATAAATTAATATAATTTAAATAAAATAATAATAATGTTTTAACAAATGCTACTTGGTTTCAAAGTTTTGATACATTTTTCAGAAAGAGAACAACATTTTTGTAACTTTGTGGTTTGACATTCCTCATCCTAATAAAATACACTTAAAACAGCATCAAAAAGCCACGCAGATTTTGTACAACATGAGGCCAGAGAAATAATGCCAAGATCACCCTAAATCCTCACCCCTTTGCCCTCAGCAAAGGCCAAATTAATAAGTGGAGACACTTTCCAAAGCGTCCACTGGGTTTTATTTATAAACTGTGAGGTATAGACAGTTTATCTAAGCGCTCTGTGGGGTTTTCCCCGGTTAAGCCAAGTTCTTAGTGTGCGCGACAATACCAGCCTTCATGCAGCACTAATCTAGTCTCCTGGGCCCAGAGGCCTCATGACTTTGAAGCCATTGGAAATGTCCCACTAGTCCGGCATAAAGAGCCCCTTTATCTGTGCCAGGTTCAAAGCAGTAGTGATCTATGAATGCCCGAGCACCTCCTGCATTATCAAAGGTGTGACTGGACACAAGTGGGCTGATTGTTAATGCTTTTTCATGCTCTTAGGAAACAGAGAGGAGAGGTGAAAGCAAGACTCCCTCGAGCTGTGTTTCTGGCTCAACCCGCTCGCTGAATGGACCCTTTTCACATTTCCGGGTTAATAGAAGAGTACAAAATTTTTTACAATCCTATTTGCTGTAATAATGAAAGAAAAATGTAACAATTGTTTTATCAAGACTTTCAGAAAGATAAAAAAATGAGTGAGACTGATAACGGCAGCCAGAAGAGAGAACAACGCCAAATTCACTGTCCTGCCCCATAGACGCTGCATTAGAAACACCTCACATAATAGTTATTTATTATATGATGAAAAGTTGATATTAGGTATGCTCCAATCGATATCGGCCGATAATCCCATTTAATGACTCAATCGGACTTGCTGATTTGGCTGATCTCATGAACTGATCGCAAGTGTTTGTTTGAATTTACCGGGTTACACATAAAGAAGCTACAACACATGATAACTAAAACACATACAAATGCAGTGCGACCTCTGTTAATACAGTTTATTGGTGCGACTCGCACAAGTGATGGTCTCTTTATCACAACCATTGTATATCCCACTGCAAAAAATGCTTTTCTTACTTAGATTTTTTGTCTTGTTTCTAGTCCAAATATCTTAAAATTCCTAAATCAAGAAGAGTTTTCTAGACAAGCAAAACATATTGTCTTGTTTTGAGAAATAATATGCCAATATTAGGTGAGTTTTTCCTTAAAACAAGCAAAATAATCTGCCAATGGGGTAAGCAAAATAATCTTACGGCATAAGAAAAAACAAGATTAATTTGCTCACCCCATTGGCAGATTATTTTACTTGTTTTAAGGAAAAACTCACTTAATATTGGCATATTATTTCTCAAAACAAGACAATATGTTTTGCTTGTTTAGAAAATGCTTCTTGATATAAGAAATTTTAGATATTTAGATTAGAAACAAGACAAAAAAAAATCTAAGAAAAGCATTTTTTGCAGTGTGTTTTGAGCAGCTGTGTACGAGCAGAGCGATCGCCCTTATCTAGTGTCTCATCAAACTGTGTGACCTCTCCTAGAAGCTTCGCGAGTCCCCCACATATTCATACCGGCTCCGTGACGACCGCAAATTAGTTAAAAGAGTGAATGAGCAAGAGATTAGATAGCGAGAGGCATGTTTAAAGGATTATATGCAACATATTTTATTTATTCTCTTAGGTAAGGAGAGATCTTCACTTAAGTACACTCTCAGAAATAAAGGTATGCGAGCTGGTGTGGTACATTTTCAAAAGATACAAATTTGTAACTAAAAGGTCCATATTAATACCTCAAGGGTGCATATTAGTACCTAAAAAGCACAAAAGTGTTCCCCTTAAAACTTTTAAGTACTAATATATGCTTTCGAGGTACCAATATGAATCCTTTAAGTACAAATTTTTACCTTCTGAAAAGGTACCACACCAGCTCGCGTACATTTATTTCTAAGAGTGTATCGTACTTAGAGGGGAAATGTGCTTAATGCATTGTACAGCTTAAAGCAGAGGTCAGCAATCCCACAGACCAGATTTCTGCGGCGCACGAATACATTTCCGAATAAAGCGCGGGAGCGGTCGGTAACTGGTTTAATTTTGGACGGGAGTGGGCAGTTTAACAATATCACTCCCGACTCCCGAGCGAGCGAGCACGCGTATGTATGTGTGTGAATGAGACAGCATTGCCTTTAGCTTGTTTGTTGCTGTCCAAAAGTATTCATACCCCTGGCAAATTCTGACTTAAAGTAACATTTATTCAACCAGCAAGTTTTTTTTGTTTGTTTTTTTGACCGGAAATGACACAAGCTTCTCCTGAATGATGTTAAGATGATATGCAGGGGGCATTATTGAGAATTTTTTTAATCAGATTTTATCAAAATTAACTCTATATAGAGTCAATATAGGCTTGACTGTGTGTATAAATATATATATATATATATATATATATATATATATATATATATATATATATATATATATATATATATATATATGTGTGTGTGTGTGTGTGTTTGTGTGTGTGTGTGAGAATGAGAGAGAGAGCAAGATGCTGTCTGTGTGTGTGTCACTTGCTTGTTCTTATGTGTGTGTGTGTGTGTGTGTGTGTGTGTGTGTGTGTGTGTGTGTGTGTGTGTGTGTTTATACAGACAGCTTGTTATAGGCTGTCTGTACACTGTATAGCTGGGTGGTTTTCAGTTTTGTTCTCCCCCCGGTTCGTTAACGGCAACGGGCGCGGCGGGTAGAAAACGGGGCGGTTCGGGCAGCGGGACAAAAAATGATGAATATAAGCGGGAGCGGTCGGGTTCAGGCTAAAACCTGGCGGATGTGGGCGGGTGCGGGCGGGAGCGGGATTCAAAATTTTGATCCGCACAGATCTCTAGCTTACAAGAAATTGGTACTTGGTATCGGCTGCAAAAGTCTTGATCAGAGCATTCCTAGTTGATATAATACAGACTTAAAGATTTTTCACTTCTTAGGACATAGAAGTGAAAGATTTTCCTAAAGATAGGATGTGCATAATTATTTATTCCCTACTGTAATAAGTTCAGCCAAAACTAGAAACAATACACAAAAATACTGATTATAAATGTATTATTTAAATAGTAACAGCTTACATCAACAGCTAAAATTATAATATAATATAAAGCAAAATATTATAAGAAAATCCTTACTTAAACTCAAGCTAAAGTACAAAGATTGCTAAAACTATTATGAATTATTTTTGGAAATAAAATGAAATATAAAATGGTGCCTTGGCAGTTAAATTAATTTACATAAATAAATAAATAAATAAATAAATAAATAAATAAATATAAAATAAAATAAAATAAAATAAAATAAAATAAAATAAAATAAAATAAAATAAAATAAAATAAAATAAAATAAAATAAAATAAAACAAAATAAATTACTGGAACTAAAACTATAACAAATAATTATAGGTCATAAGATTTTATTAAATATTGGAATAAAAGGTTTAAAGGAATTACCTTGGCAATACATTTGAGTAAATATGTAAATAATCGTCTTTGTTAATAAAATTAAATGGATTCTGAAAATAATTCACAAAACAATTATCAATAAATAATTGATTATAAAAATAAAGAAATAAAAAATAACATTATATAATTATTTAATTTAGTTATATTTAATTTACTAAAATTAAAACTAGAAGAAGTTGCCTTGCCTTCAATAAATTTAAGTAAATATGTAAATAAACATTTTTGATAATAAAATTAAATAGAGCCTTAAACTAATTCACAAAACTCGAGTCTCATTTACACTTTGCAAGCTATTTGTATGTTGCTCAGGCCTGCTGTCAATGTAGAGCACTACAAAGCAAGCTAATGTTATTCAAATAGTGTATTTGGAACACTTTTGTAAAGTAGAGCAAATTACTTAGAAGAATTTTCTTGGAATATTTTAGAACATTCTTGATGAATGTTCTCATGATGTTCTCATGATGTTGATGGCAAAACGTTTTTAAAACATTAATGTAATGTGAATGAAATGTTCTAATAACTTTAAATATACAGTTCTGAGAACACTAACATAGCATGAGATTGAAATGCTAGAAAAACAGAATTTTATAGCAAAATAATATCAATACATCATCTAAAAAAACTGGACATAATAATGTTATATAACGTAATGTAAACATAAAGGGAATTAATTCATTTATTTTTCTTCGGCTTAGTCCCTTATTTATCAGGGGTTGCCACAGTGGAATAAACCGGCAACTATTCTGCCATGTTTTATGCAGCGGATGCCCTTCCAGCCGCAACCCAGTACTGGGAAACACCCATACATTCTTGTTTTAGTTAATTCAATTCACCTATATCGCATGTCTTTGGACTGTGGGGGAAACCGGAGCCCCTGGAGAAAACCCACGCCAACACGTGGAAAACATGCAAACTCGACACAGAATTGCCAACTGACCCAGCTGGGACTCCAACCAGCGACCTTCTTGGTGTGAGGTGACAGTGTTAACCACTGAGCCACCCAAGCTTTCTTTAATAATTCTGACTCACCCAGCCACTGGATGGACCACTATGGATCTGGGGTTGTTAAGGTTGCGTACGATGGCTCGTCTGGATTTATCCACCACCTTCATCACAGAAATACTCCTGTAACGTGGATCCGTCCAGTATAAGTTCTTCGATATCCAATCATATGCCAGATCTTCCACTCCGTCCACCCGATTGGCTGCCAAAACCTCTCGACCTGTAGCGAATACAGTAAAGAAGACAAAGATGAGACTCAAATAATAATAATGACAAAAAATAACATGTAGACCCTGATCACTTGACCCTGATCATTTAAAAGGAATAGTTCACCATAATAATCTTTCGTCATCATTTACTCAAGCGGTTCTAAACTTCTACTGGACACAATACAAGATATTCTGAAGAATATTAAAAAAAGGCAGCCATTGACATCCATAGCTGTAACTAAACACTATGAAAGTCAATGGCTGCTTTTTCCAGCATTCTTCAGTATATTTTTGCTTTTATTTATCAGAAGAAAGAAACTCAAAGGTTGGATTTTTTTCAGAATTTGGCAGAATTTTCATTTTTGGGTAAACTATCCATTTAAGTATAGTTAGAGGCATGTCAGAGCAAGAGTTATGATTAAATCTAAATTACTTTAATCACTTTTATGAGGCTTGGTGTAGCTGACGCTGATCGGTCAGCTTGTATTTTTTTGGTTGTTTATTGTTTTTGTATTTCATTATTTAAAAGCGTACTTGGTTTATGTTTATGTTATAAATTTCCTTGTTTTCGGGTTGGCTTGAGTCGGAGGTCACATGATCTTTCTTGATTGATTTAAACTGCGAGAGTTTGTATGGACAGGATAGTGAGATCTCAATGCAGGCACCTGTTGGGCGCTCCTGCTTATTCTACTGCTGGTTATCAGACCAACACTGTAAATGAAACCTTCTATAATTAATTGTTTATTTTTGATGTACTTTTGATTGTGTTTGTGTAAAACATTTGGATTGTTTGTTTGTTTATCCTTTAGTTTTCACAGTGTTCAATAAATGAAACGTAAGGACATTAGTATTTGGAAGAGAGAACTGTTTTAATAACCAGCAGGTAGCTATACTTGGGATGTGTGATATTGACACTTCATTACATCTCAGTTACTTTTCATTGATAATATTATCAATATCATTATCTATAGTGATCCTCAACCACCAGGCCGCCACAAACCGGTACCGATCAGTGGATCAATTGCTATCGGCCTGCACAAGAAATCATTTATTACTTATGTTTTATTTATTATCTGAGTCTGAACGATCTTTTATTTTGAAAAATGACCGTATTCTCTCAGTTACATCTCGGTCACTTGAGCGCCCTAATTTAAATTGAGTTAGAAACAGACGTCTTCGGAAAGTTTCTAAGGGAAAAAAGGCCCAGTGATGAACCCGCGGACTGCCAAGGAATAAATCACAACCCATTTATCAACAAATCAGGTGAATCCAGCATGTCTGTGCAAAAAGATCAACTGCTGGAGATCACAAATGATGGCAGCCTTTCAGGGGTCGTTCGCATATCGCTTTTCTAGATCATGTGATTTTTATTTTTAATAAATTTGCAACAATTTCAAAAACTCTTTTTTCCACATTGTCATTATGGGGTAATGAATGTAGAATTTTGGGGAAAAAAATTTATTTAATCCGTTTTGGAATTCAATTCAATTCAATTCACGTTTATTTGTATAGTGCTTTTACAATGTAAATTGTGTCAAAGCAGCTGTCAGTTCAGTTCAGTTTTCAGTGTTTAAGTTCAGTTCAGTTTAGCTCAGTTCAGTGTGGTTTAATAATCCCAACTGAGAGTCCAAACACTGAAGAGCAAATCCATCAATGCGCCGAAATAAGGCTGTGACATTAAAAAAATGTGGAAAAAGTGAAGCGCTCTGAATAATTTCCGCATGCACTCTATATGTGGCACTGTAAAAAACACAGACAGAGCCACAAGATACAGTAAAATCACAGAAGAATGCAGTGAGAATGAGCATGAAGTCATTCTTCTTCTTCTGCACGCTAAGTACAGACATAAACAGGACACTGTGGTGGATTTCAAAACATTTGGTTGTCTAGTTGATACACCATTCAATTCTTGTATAATAGCCATTCATTTAATTAAATATGAATGAATAATAATATAATAGCCATCAGCTTAATTCAATAATATTATATAATAGCCATCAGCTTTTTTAATGTATGCTATTATTCGTTATATCCTCTGTAATTAATTACAAATCATATTACTAACAGTTTCAACTGTTTGTTTAGAATAAAACAGCTCCAATTGAACAGATTAAGGGTGCTTTCACACCTGTGAATCGATTCAGTTGTTCCGAAACAGAGATTACAATTATTACATTGTTGCTCTTTGCTCTTGGAGCGGTTCGCTTTCACATTGCAAAGTTTCTAATCGGACCAAAAGAGCTAAAAACAAGTCACGTGCGAGTAAACTCTCCTTACATTGGTCAGAGTGTCAGGGTTTATTTTGCAGCTTCCCGCTCAGCTGTCAGGAGAGGTGGTGGTTTGGTGGTGATTGACAGGGTGCGCGCACGACGTGTCTGAGGAGAGACGCGGTGGGGAGGGGTGAGAAGGGTGCGCGACAATGCCTATTTGAGGAATGGGAGGGAGACGCGAGATTACCGGGAGATCATCACTCGTTTGCGGGCATTCGGTGACTCGCGAAACTTCCCGCCATACTCATAATTCTCTCTTCATACAGCCGTATGCCTATTACATATCCATAAAACACTGTGAGATCGGATTGGATCGCTTTCTCACTGCAATCGAACCGCTCCAGGGTTCGTTTCAATCAAGCCGAGACCACCTCATTCAAGCGATCTCGGAGCGATTACTTTGGCGCAGAACAGAGTGCGATTGCCCTGTTCACATATGCCAAACGAACCGCGCTAACTGGGCAAACGAGACACGTTCCGAAACAAAAGTGTAGGTGTGAAAGCACCCTAAGTAATTTGGGGTATTTTTTTTTTTGAGGGGGGGGGGTCTTTTTTTACATTCCAATGTTTGTTCGGCATGGTCTAATGTAATGTAGTGCTAACAACACTGTAAACAGCTGTAAACAGTGCCTGCAGCACAGCACTGTATTTGGCTATTGCTGTTGTTGTTACCGGTTGCTACATTCAGGGTTCTTCCTTCTTCTTCTGTTCACGTGGTATGGTTACATCGTCATTAACAGTAAGTAGCATTTTGCCTATCTACATGGCTACATTATGAGCTGCATTTTGGGGTTTTTCCACTCTGTAACCCATTTTTCGAAAAGTTTATTTCAAGGCACTGACAATGCCAGTGTCGTGTGGATGAATAGCTGAAACGTCATTGAGCTTTTGCAAACTGACCAAATGCAAAACAAATGAGAAAAAAACATCATGCAAAGAAAAATTTACTTCGCACTGAATCATTAAAGCACACTGCTTCATTCTGGTGAGCAAAACCGGTGTCTTTTTCTTTTATATGAACCAAAGGTGATGAACGGTCTATATTGTTTGGTGTTGAGTGGAGAGGAGGAAGGTATTGGTGTCCTGGATTGATTTTAGAAATGTAGTCCAACACCAGTGAACACATTATCTCATGTCGTTGGCCTTTTGAAAGCAGCTGATAGGTGAAATGTGTTGTTGGCACACAGCAAGCATCCCGAGAGCTGAATGGAGTATACACTGAGTATCAGTTTCTCACTTTATCTGCCTACAAGTCAAGGACATTTCATCAACCAGCACGCTGATTTTGGCCTTTTTTTTAGACCAGAAAGAGGATTGAAATAAGACCAGCTGATCAGAGATAAATGTGTATGTGTAATGTGATATAAATGTATATATGCAGCCAAGCCCAAAAGTATTCATACCCCTGGAAATTCTGACTTAAACCTTTATTCAACCAGCAAGTTTTTTTGTTTTTTTTTGACCGGAAATGACACAAGCTTCTCCTAAATGATGTTAAGATGATGTGCAGGGGGCATCATTGAGAATTTTTTGTATCATATTTTATCAAAATTTTATCAAAAATTTATCATTACTATTTTATCAAAATAGTCAATTTTATAAAAATGGACTATATTTATAGAATTGGCTAGACTGTGTGTATGTATACACACAGTCAAGCCTTGTGTGTATGTACACACACACACATGTACATACACACACAGAGTTATCTTGTGTTGTCTCTTTGTGTCATGTGCTCTCCTGTCTATTTTCTAGTCCCACCCTCCTTGTTAACCCATTATCAGTTAATTATGTTCATCTGTTTGTGTGTTAATTTCCTACAGTTTATAAACCCCTCATGTCTGCTGTCCTGTGCCAGTTCGTCATCACATGTTGTTGCTTGAAGTCTTGTCCTGTCGTGTTCCCAGTTCTGATCCTTGCCAGCCTGCCCAGTCCAATTTGTTTGTGTATGTATTTGTTTTGTTAATCTTTTCCCCCTAGAGGTAGTTTATTTTGCATTTTATTTTATTGTTTATTATTTAATAAATTCCCCATTTACCTGTACTTGAGTCCTCGCACCTTTTTCCCCATTTCCCCTCACCAACCCTGACATTAAGCTTATTGACCGGGCGGGAGCCCTGGCTCAAATATCTCCGAGCTCAGGGTTCTTTCCCGGGACAGCATGCCAAACCTGCTATAAATACTAAGAATATCTAAGTGGGAACCTTTAAATTGTGTTGTGTCAGCTCATTTTACAGAGGTAGTTTGAACAAGCAGCAGTAATCACTTTTTGAGTGTAAGAAATCAATAAGTATACAGTACATTTGTGTAAAAATATCATCTATATAATTTATATATGACTATCTACATGTATACACACACAAAAAAATACACATTGCTGAAATATGTAAACAAAAAAATAGCAATTCTTACCAGTTCCATCAACTTTCTGTTTGTAGATGATGTCTTTTACTGTATCAGAGAAGAATATTGAATTATCCTCAGCACTGAAGTCCACTCCCACAAAATAAGACGGCGTTCCTGTGATGGGCAGAATGATGTCCTCCTGTGTGGACAGATTGAAGGGGATTCCTCGGACCGCCAGCTGACTGGAGAACAGCAGAAACTGCCTTACAGCTGAAGGAGACACAATGCAACACACACTGTAAAACTGCAGGGTTCCACACAATTCATTTATGTCGTCCCAACACAAATTGATTAAGTTAACTAATTTATGTGGATTGAACATAAAAAAATTAAGTTATCCTAATATAATATCAAGAATTGTGTTGTTTTGGCTTATTTTAAATAAAAAGGAGCAAAAATATATATTTTTGAGTGCAATGATTGGAATGAATGCCAACAATTAAATGCTGATAATCCTTTAAATCCACTCTTATTGCGTGGAGAAGCAGAACAAGACATCGGTTTGTGTTGTGTTATTTGCTCTGCTGTTTGTTGTGTTTATATTGTGCTTGTTGTTGTTTGTGGGTATTTAAGTGGGTCTGTTAAATTGTTTATTTACAATCTCACTGGATTTTTATTATTACATCATGTCATACAGGTGACAATAGCTACTGAAGTATTAAGGTTAATTAATCGAGTAATAATCATTGATTTAACAATTGGTGGGCAAACTTTTTAGACTCGAGGACCACATCAAGTTTTACAAACCAAGTGAAGGGCCAGATGTCAAATTCTTCAGAAAATAACGTTTATTTATAATGGCAGTATGCATTGAACATGTAGAATCGGACAGAAACATGTAACACAATATATTTTTTAATATTATTAAGTCAAATTGTGTAATGCGTGCAGAGATTGTGGTTATGGCATAAGTTAAAAAATGTAATTGTGATCTGTCTTACCAACGCATCTCTTGCCGTCAGCGTGCAGATCATAACCCATTCGGCAGCGGCAGCGATATCCCAGACCACCGTTATCAGTTCTGTGACTCAGAACGCAGATGTGCTCACAGCCCCCTCGATCAGCACCGCACGGGTTACTGACTGTACATCACAAAAACATACATGATTAGAGAACATCATGCATGTCTGTTTTGTCATAAACAGCGTTGAAGTCTCTCCTTGGTGCAATGATTGATTGACAGGTATCAATCAATGTTCTGGATTAAACAGGACACAGTAAATGCACAGTATGCAATTTTCACCAATACAGGGTGTGTATTCACAATAAACATAGGAATAGTTTGATGATGGTATGACTGAGTGTGGAATCATGGGAGTTGTGGTCATCATAACATCCTATGATCTATGGTTGATTTTCAGATATATTGATTTAAAAAAAATTCTACATTTTGCTTTTAGAGGTGCTGTATGTAAGTTTTTGACTCTTCTAAAGAATAAAAATACCATAATATGTTTGCAGATATTAAAGAAACAGGGTAAGTAAACATTCTTGTTTATCTGAAAAACTATGCTAGAGTCAGATACATGACTTTACATGTGCGTTCTGTAAGACTTCTGTCTTTGTTTTGGTCTGTTTAACCCGCCCAATGTCAGTTTAGCCAATTATATTTCAGCACTCCGGGTTGCTTTGGTGGAAAAAGCATGTATTTGATTCATTCAGTCAGGAAGGCTCTCAGAGCATGCGTCCGTGACCTAAATGCGACCTCCAATGGACGGTAGCAGACTCCAAAATAAGACGCAGGGTACCACATGCAGTGGTTATTAATTAGCAAATAATATAATTGTTACAAACGTAAACATTAGGTGAGCAGGTTACATTGTAACACCGTGTCCCACTCTACGCGACAAGATTTGCAGTGATAAGCAATTTGGCTGTTTGCACCAGACGAAACCTGACAGAAACATTAAAATACAGCCATTCAAAAGCGCAGAATAGTGCACACACTGCACTCCAACGAAATGATAATTTATACATATTAAACCTCTTTAACATTATTAAATGTAGACGCTGAATCGTTCATAGTTCTGTAGTTCAATTTCATTCATTCATTCATTTTCTTGTCGGCTTAGTCCTTTTACTAATCCGTGGTCGCCAGAGCGGAATGAACCGACCAACTTATCCAGCACGTTTTTACGCAGCGGATGCCCTTCCAGCCGCAACCCATCTCTGGGAAACATCCACACACACACTCATACACTACGGAAAATTTAGCGTACCCAATTCACCTGTACCACAGGTTTTTGGATTGTGGGGGAAACCTGAGCACCCTGAGGAAACCCACACGAACGCAGGGAGAACATGCGAACTCCATACAGAACACAGAGGCTCGAACCAGCGACCCAGCGACCTTCTTGCTGTGAGGTGACAGCACTACCTACTGAGCCACTGCGTCGCCCTGTAGTTCAATTTCAAACGGCTTATTTTATTTTCAAGATCTGAAGTGAACTATCTGCTACTATCTGCTGGGTGTCAAACTTACAAACTGCACCTTTAACTAAATATTTACACAACCCATGCCATCACACTGCACATATTATGTATATCCTAATGCATAAATACAAACAAATACACTATATATGAAAATTAATCTGAGAAAACATATGGTTTTAACATTAGACACTTGTGTTGTTTCTGTAAGTGTACTTTTATTATGTACTTTTGTCATTTTATTTTGTTACATTAAATTTTCCATATCACATTTCATATCAGCTTCATCAATAAACTAAAATAATTAATAGTTTCAGTTTAAGTTAACAATTGCTTGTCTTAATAAGATTTTTTTTCTTTTCTTTTTTAACATCTAAAACCAAAACAACATTTAAAGGGATAGTTCACCCAACAATTTAAATTCTGGCATAATTTACTCTCCCTCTACTCTTTCCAAAACTCTTTAAGTTTCTTAATTGTCATTAACACAAAAGAGGATATTTTGAAGAGTGTTTACAATTCCATTAACTTTCATAGTAATTTTTATTACTTCGGATTTCAATGGCTACCGGTTTCCAACATTCTTCAAAATATCTCTTTCAACAGAAAAAGAAACTCTTTAAGGTTTGAAATCACTTCAGGGTGAGTCAAATTTATTTTTTTTATTGTGTGGCACAAGTACTTTCACAGCTACTTACCAAATGGCTGTTTGTATGAATGTACAACGGTCAGGCCATATGGTCTCTGTGTGGTCCTGTAGAGCTCTTGTGGGTTGCTGTCGCTGTATTTATTAGCCTTCATGACAGCCATCTTAGTCCAGTCAGTGTAATAAACTGAATGCTCAAACAGAGTAATGCCAAACGGATGAGGAATCACAGAACCACCATGAACTACTGTTTTCCTATAAAATTGAAATCAGAGTTCAATAAAAACACACCTTCAGCAAATGTGTATGCATTTTCAATTGAAACTTGAAAGGGTTAGATCATCCAAAAAGAAAAAATTCTGTTATTAATTACTCATCCTCATGTTACAATCCCCAGACCTTTGTCTCCTTATCCTCTACAAACAGCAACAGTCCAGAGATGTTCAAAGTACAGAAAAGGGATCGAAAACATTGTCAAAATATTCCATGTGACTTCAGTGATTCAATTACAAATATACGAAGCTCCAAGAACTGTTTTGAGCACAAAACCGGTAAAAACTATTTTGTTCGTTTTAAAATAACCAACGATCGTTCTCCACAGATCGCTGGTTCTCTCACAATATCCATGGACTACACTTCCGCCTTCTCCTGGACTACACATTTATACATGCTCTCCGGTCACACTCACACATGCTCACTCATCTAGACTGATTACATTCTCACCACCTGAGTCTTGTCAGAGATTCATTGCACTCTCTACTTAAGCCAATCATTCACCCATCCAGTTGGCAGAGTCTTGTTCGCTATCAGTGACATTACAACGCGTTTCTCCTTGTCTTGTTTCTCCGTGTTTAGACCCTAGCCTTGTTTATCCTTGTTCTCCTGTTTAGCCGCCGCCTTACGACCTATAGCCCGCTATACAATTACGATTCAGGACCGCCTGCATAGACCCGTTTGCACCTGTTTGATCATTGCTTGCCTGACGCTGAATAAACCTGCATTGTGGATCTTACCTTCTGTGTGAGTGTCATTCCCCAGCGTTACAGTTTGCTTATGTATTCTCTCCTGAACATCAGGGTGCCCATTTATGCAACCCAGGCTCATTACGGATATGTACTGAGGTCTACATTTTGGGGACAGCAAAATACATAACCGGAGGTACGTCTCCTTGCAGTTTTTGTATTTGAAAATGCACCAGAGGCCGCTGTGTATACTTTTTTGATGATCTCAAATTTCTCTCGCGTGTCCTATTCTCTACTGAATCCACCTGAGGGCACAATATACACTTCAACCGTCCAGGCCACATTGACGTGGACTGACTGATAGTCCCACCGACCCCCGTCCCTCAACCCAACCGATAGTGTTTTCAAAAGCAATTTAGACAAAAGAAAATCCGTCAGAGCCACATGATTATACCACTTTTTAAGCCTGTTGTTTATTTTATTTTTTTACTTGGTTTCTGGAACCGTTTTTCAAACACTATTGTCGCTGTCAACTCCACTCCACATCCCATAGCATTCGTTTTACAAACGAAATGGAGCCAGACATACCTTTGTGTACATATTTCGTGGTCTCCATAAATGTAGACAGGGATATGTATCCACAATGAGCCTGTGTTGCATTTATGCTAGTGTGGTGTGCTGCTGACTGGCAATACATTATACTGCCCATAGTAAATATGCACCCTGATGACCTGACACGAGAGTGAAGATATAAGCATACAAGTCATATTTACAGTTTTTTTAGTGCACAAAAGTGTTCTTAGAGCTTCGTATGATTACAATTGAACTACTTTAGTAACATGGACTGTTCTGAACATCTCAGGACCATTGCTGTATATAGAGTTAGGTCCAGGACAGACCTCCCAGATTTCATCTAAAATATATTAATTGGTGTTGTGAATGTGAATAAAGGACTAACAAAATGTTCATTTTTTGAGTGAACCAACCCTTTAATGCAACACATACCTGTGGAGCCCATCATAAGTTGTGGTTTCGATGTAATCATATCGACTGTCCACCCAATACACTCTTTTGGCCTCGAGGTCCAGAGTGATTCCTGCAGGCCAGCCGAGTTTGGTCCTGATGATCCCATAGCGATTGGTGCCGTCCATGTAGGCTCTTTCCAAACCGGGCTCTCCATTCAGAGTGTCCCAGTCAGAGAAGAAAAGATACCTGAACTCAAACACAACAACTTCACTGTCACAATATGATCTTTTAAGAGCACATTTAACCCTCATAATGCACCCATTTTTCAGATTTTAATAGGAGCAGTGTAAAAACTAAATTTTTTACGTTGAGATACGTTGAGGTTTATGAAGCCATGTATGGAGAGCCTGTAAATGTTAAGAGAAGTTTATTCATAAACTAATTTCGAGAGGATCACGTGCTTATGATTTATCACGGCCAGTCTCGCATTTGTTAATCACTATCTTCCAATCATATGAACCCTAAACAACTATAAATAGCCACAGTTTTCAGTTCACTTTATCTTCTTTCGGAAGAAGCCCCCCTCCTCCCCTATTCTCCTCCTTTACCTCTGATTGGGCGGCACGACGGCCCAGTGGTTAGCACTGTGAGCCCCACAGCAAGAACACTGCCAGCCCTGGTTCAACAGGACCGGTGGGTGTTTCTGTGAGGAGTTTGTATGTTCTCCCCGTGTCCGCGTGGGTTTTCCCCGGGTTCTCCGGTTTCCTCCCACCATCCAAAGACATTCAACATACATAACAATCAAGCATTTATCTAACCCCTTGTGTTCCCTTACCTACCGCAGCAGGGGAGTTCTGAGATCCACCGAGCTCAGGCTCCCCTCTCGCTCTGCCAACGGGAGGAAGCCCTAGGCTCGAGGAGCCCTTGAGCTCGGGGCTCTCTCCCGGGACAGCAGGCCAAACAAGCTTTTATAAATCATCAGCTAAGTGTGAACTCTTGAAAAATACTCATAGATTATAGATGTTACAGATTAGATTGCTGTTAGAAAATCTTTGTAAACTATATTTCTTCTTTTCACCATTTTTAATACACTTTTAATACTGAAGTTTATTGATAAACATGTATTTATGAAACTATGAATTTTTATTTGTTCATTCAGTCATTTTTATTATTCAGGGGTCGCCACAGCAGAATGAACCACCAACTTTATGAAACTATAATGCGATTTTCACACCAGACGCGGAACACGCAGATAAATTGCACTATTCGCGCGTAAGTAGACGCGTGAACAAAAAAATCCGCTTCATTCGAGTGTAAAATTCAACTTCACAACAGATGAAGATTTGCGTGATGGGCAGGGCTTCTGTCTGCCCGGTGACTATAGCTTAATTGCTAAATGGCTAACATGGATTTTCTTGAGAGAATAACTGTGTTTATGTGCTTTATGAAGGCTGAAAAACAGTGTTGATTCGTTTGGAGCAGTGTTTGAGTCCACCAGATCCTTTCAGAGGTGCACCCAACACTGTGAGCTCATAAACTCCTCCAGAAACCCCCCGGGACACCAACAACAGGTGCTACGTCATTATCAAGCCCCCACAAGAGCAAGCTCCTGACTGGTTAATGTGCTGCATTATTCGCACGTTAAGTGCGTCAAATGTGCAAATGTCTATTCGAGCGTTTGCATTGACTTAACATGTAAATCACTCGCTTGACACTTCTTCCACGTCTGGTGTGAACACAGCATAAGAAAGTAAATGTTTATGCCATTGAAAATCAATTTTCATTAACATTTATGCAGTTTTGATGTTTTTATTTAGAATATTTTTTTGTTTAGTTTTTAAGCATTCAGGATTTAATAGGTCAAAGCAATATTATAATAGCACTATAATAACAGCAATAAATATTTAGATTGAGGGTATCGTTTTGGAGCTGTGCATTTACAGCATTAAGGACCTGTAGGTCTCAAAAATAAATATAGGGCGTCACACACCGGATGCGTTTCCCAGAGATGAAAACGGAAGCCGTCCGGAAGGTCATCCGCTGCGTAAAAATGTGCTGGATAAGTTGGCGGTTCATTCCGCTGTGGCGACCTCAGGTTAATAAAGGGGCTAAGTCGACAAGAAAATTAATGAATGAATGACACCGGATGCGCCGATCAGCGCCACGGCACGACACAGCACGACCATGACTTTTGGAAGTATCGCAAACCAGACGCGCACATTTGCACACTGTTTAAACTGAAACTATTCAGATGGCGGCCTGTGGTGAGGCACAAATATAAACTGTCCTGAGTCATACCTGGGTGCCATGGACAGCCGCTGACTTGCCGTGCCGGTGTGCGTACACTGATAGAAACCGGTTAAGAATTCTAAAATGCATGGCACTGCCTGGCTTATTTTTTTAGCTTTTTCACCATTTCTAACACACATTTGATAATGAATTTTATTGATGACCATGAATATGCAGGTGAGGCAGTGGCGCAGTTGGTAGTGCTGTCGCCTCACAGCAAGAAGGTCGCTGGTTCGAACCTCGGCTCAGTTGGAGTTTCTGTGTGGAGTTTGCATGTTCTCCCAGCCTTTGCGTGGGTTTGCTCCGGTTTCCCCCACAGTCCAAAGACATGGGGTACAGGTGAATTGGGTAGGCTAAATTGTCCGTAGTGTGTGAATGTGTGTGTGGATGTTTCCCAGAGATGGGTTGCGGCTGGATGGGCTGCGTAAAAACTTGCTGGATGGGTTGGCGGTTCATTCAGCTGTGGCGACCCCAGATTAATAAAGGGACTAAGCCGACAAGAAAATGAATGAATGAATGAATATGCATTGATAAACTATGAGAGCATGAAATTTTTTTACCTTTTTATAAAAAAGAAATTAAATGTTCATTCAAAAAATGAATGTCATGTCTTTTTGGCGTTGTTTGTTAACAAAAAAGGTTTGTTTTTAAGCATTCAGGATTTAAAAGGCTAAAACTATGTAATAATAGCAATATAATACCAGTAATACATATTTTAATTGGGGTTATCATTTTGTTTTGTGTTCTTATTATTATAATTTCAACAATGTGTTCTTATAATTCAAACTGTTGTAAATTCTAATCACAATTACTCAATAATATTAAAAAACCCACATGTTTAACATTAATTTCTTTGTCATGGTTTCATGTGTACTTTGAAATCTTAAAAAAGTCCTATTTTTGTAATGCAATTGTTCTGTTAATGTCTTTTATTATAATTATTACTATTATTATTATCAGTATCATTATTATTGGGGCGACACGGTGGCTCAGTGGTTAGTACTGTAACCTCACAGCAAGAAGGTCGCTGGTTCGAGTTCCGGCTGGGCCAGTTGGCATTTCTGTGTGGAGTTTGCATGTTCTCCCCATGTTGGCGTGGGTTTCCTCCGGGTGGAGTTTCCCCCACAGTCCATGATGTACATGCTGTATAGGTGAATTGAATTAACTAAATTAGCCATAGTGTATGTGAGTGAATGAGTGTGTATGGGTCTTGATTAATAAAGGGACTAAGTCTAAGGAAATTGAATGAATAAATAAACTAGGAGATAACTTTAAAACATATCCACATGTCCTCCTCATCAATGAGAAGTTCAAATTATGTGTTTTTATCATTTAAACAATGATATATTCTAATAACAATTCATTAATTTTAACAATTTTAATAATAATTAAAATAATAATTTTAATTTTAATAATTAAAATTAAATAATAAAAACGCGGTAAATGAGGCAATAATGTAAAAAATTTTTAACAGAACTAAAATATTTGTACATGTCCTCATCAATGAGAAGTTCAAATTAAGTCTATTTAGTACAATAAAAACTGCAAAAATATAATATAGATATTCCTTTATCTGGGTCAACATCTAAAACAAAAAAGCAACTAACCCTACGCCAAAACATCCCATTATAATGATAAACGCAATTTAGTAGTGTCAAGTTGCAGTAAAAAAAAGAGCAATTTGAACCAAAGGTATTTAAGTATTTACTCAATCGTATTGTCCGCAGTCTGCATCAGGTTCCAGATAAACCCCTCAGGGATCAGAAGGAGATTTTGAAACAAATACCCGACTTTATTTTCAAACACAATCTCTTTTGCGACTCAACTGTACGCTTTAACTGTCGTTTCTCAATTTAGACGGCGGCCACCTGCCTGAACTGCACTATTGGGTTTCCCTGAAGCTCATCTTTGCTTAATTACTTCTGACTAATCCTGTTGGGACTGAAGATGCGAGATGAGATTATGTGGAGGAAGTCGGGATAAGATCTGATGTCTCTCACCCTACGGTCGGGTCGAGCGCGAGTCCTCTTGGGTTTCCCAGGTGCTCTGCGATCAGCGTGACCCGATTGCTGCCGTCCAGGTCCACCATGTCGATCCTGTTGACACTGGCCTCCACTACATACAGCTTATTGTTCACCCAGTCCACGGCCAGATTTTCGGGATAGTCCACCGACACGTTCAGCACCACCTGCAGACGCGAGCCGTCCATATCCACAGAAAACACCTGTGTGAAGAAAATCAGTAGTGTTTCAGAGTTTAAGATATTTTAAGATCATTATGAATGAAATTTCAGATTTGTACAGAAAACGCTAGTTATTTTTCTAATGACCTGAGGAAAATATTTTTACTTGCTCCATTAAAATTCTAACTTAGCTATTTCTTTTTCCTTCAGATTAGTGCCTGATTTATCAGGGCTCACCACAGTGTAATGAGCAGCCAACTATTCCAGCTTATGTTTTACGCAGGCGACGCAGTGGCGCAGTGGGTAGCACGTTCGCCTCACAGCAAGAAGGTCGCTGGGTCGCTGGTTCCAGCCTCGGCTCAGTTGGTGTTTCTGTGTGGAGTTTGCATGTTCTCCCTGCGTTCGTGTGGGTTTCCTCCGGGTGCTCCGGTTTACCCCACAGTCCAAAGACATGCGGTATAGGTGAATTGGGTAGGCTAAATTGTCCATAGTGTATGAGTGTGTGTGTGTGCATGTTTCCCAGAGATGGGTTGCGGCTGGAAGGGCATCCGCTGCATAAAGACTTGCTGGATAAGTTGGCGGTTCATTCCACTGTGGTGACCCCATATTATTAAAGGGACTAAGCCGACAAGAAACAGAATGAATGAATGAATGAATGTTTTACGCAGCGGATGCCCTTCCAGGTGCAACCCAGTACTGGGAAACACTCACACACACTCATCCACATTAATCCAATTCACTTATAGTGCATGTCTTTGGACTGTTGAGAAAACCCATGCCAACATGGGAAGAACATGCAAACTCCACAAAGAAATACTCCATGCAGAAACTGTCCAAGCCGGGACTCGAACCAGCGACCTTCTTGCTGTGAGGTGACCACTGAGCCACCAGTTTTCAGCATTTCTTTTCTTAAAATATAGACAAGCTTAAAAAATGATGATAAACTATAATAAACAGTGTGTCCAGGTCAGCCAGCGTCCCCCGTTCAGCCAGCGTCCTCACTAGAAAATTATAAATACATGGGGAACTTATGAACAAATGTTATTGTAAGGAAGATAATTAAACCAAATTGGTAAATAAAGTTAAGGGATGGTGAAGTGGCACAGTGGGTAGCGCTGTCGCTTCACAGCAAGAAGGTCGCTGTTTCAAGCCTGGTTCAGTTGGCATAACTATATGGAGTTTGGATGTTCTCCCCATGTTGGCATGGGTGTCCTCCGGGTGCTCCGGTTTCCCCCCACAATCTAAACCAGGGGTCTCAAACTCCCGGCCCGCAGGCCATTTGCGGCCCTCAGTGCAATATTTTGTGGCCCGCGCCGACCGCTGTACTCTGACAGAATCAGCGGAGCGGGGAGAGAGAGCGCTCCCCGCTCCGCTGATTCTATCCGTACACAGCGCGCTTGTCACTCAATGCGCGTTCTGATCAGCTGTGTTATCGCGCGCGTACTCAAGAGCGGTGTTATCGTGCGCCTACTGAAGGGCAGGACCGAGGGTGTGTCGCGTCGCGGGGGCACTTTTGATCATTTTGGAAGGGCGCTTTCTATGCAAGACTAAAAAGGGCATGTGCTCTGCACAGGTTGAGCCCTATGTGTGCACGTGCCTGCCCTGCATCTTATATATATTGATATTATAGGTAGATACAGACTGGTACAGACTGATGTGACTGGAGTGGGGTGGGGGTGTTTTATTTATACATATATACGCCTTTTTTTTAGGTGAGGGAATGGAAGTTTTGAGTGAGTTCCCCTACTTTTTTCCCTAGGACTTCAATAAGTCAAAGTACAGGTCTAGACTTAATGATGATCATCTTCAAGCCATACTGAGGGTCTCAACTGCTTCCGCTCTAAAGCCAAATGTGGTTCAGATTTGTGAGAAGAAGCGCTGTCAAGTCTCTGGCAGCAAGAAGTAGGCAAAAGATGCCATGTTCAGAAGAACTGTTCATAATCTTCACTCAATGTTCTATTAATGTTCAGGACACTTCATGTTCAGAAGAAATAATTAAAACTGTTAATAATGACATTTGAGGACTTTTTCTTGTGAAATCCCTTATGCGGCCCAGCCTCACCCAGACTTTGCCTCCTGCGGCCCCCAGGTAAATTGAGTTTGAGACCCCTGATCTAAACACATGCGCTAAAGGTGAACTGGGTAAGCTAAACTGTCCATAGTATATGTGTGTGAATGAGAGTTTATGGGTGTTTATGGGGGTGCCAAAAAGAAAATGAATGAATGAATTAAACAATGCCCTAATTGAAAAATTACTTTAAAAATACTGCATAATAAATGATAAATCAATAAATATTTGATGTTTTCTGATAAATTTAAATAAATAAAATCTGTTAAAAAATGTTGCTAACTAAAAAAAATAATGCTACAATTAAAAAAATGAAAATACTAATTGCCTTTGTGATCAAAAATAAAATAAATACAATTGCTTTGAATTGGGAAAGCTAAAATTGTCCTTGGTGTATGTGTGTGAATGAGAGATGGGTTGCAGCTGGAAGGGCACCCGCTGTATAAATAATATGCTGGATAAGTTGGCGATTCATTCCACTGTGGCGACCCCGGATTAATAAAGGGACCAAGCCGAAAAGAAAAAGAATGAATGAATGTCACAAATACTACAAAAAATAAACATTAAATACTTGAAATGAATACACAAAAAGCCATACATGGCTGACAAAATAAAAGTACTTTTGGAATACAAGAAAACTAAATAAATAATAATAATAATATGCAACACGGTGGTTCAGTGATTAGCACTGTCGCCTCAAAGCAAGAAGGTTGCTGGTTTGAGGCACAGCTGGGCCAGTTGGCATTTCTATGTTCTCTGCATGTTGCTGTGGGTTTCCTCTGGGTGCTCCAGTTTCCCCCACACTCCAAAGAAGTGCAGTATAGGTAAATTTAATTAAATAAATTGGCTGTAGGCAGCACGGTAGTATAGTCGACTCACAGCAAGAAGGTCGCTGTTTCAAGCCTGGGTCAGTTGGCATTTCTGTGTGGAGTTGGCACACTCTCCCAACGTTTGCGTGGGTTTTCTCCGGGTGCTCCGGTTTCCCCAACAGTCCAAACACATGTGGTATAGGTGAAATGGGTAAGCTAAGTTGTCCGCAGTGTATAAGTGCGAATGAGTGTGTATGTGTGTTCCCCAGAGATGGGTTGCAGCTGCAAGGGCATCTGCTGCATAAAACATTTGCTGGATAAGTTGGCAGTTCATTGCACTGTGGTGACCCCTGATTAATAAAGGGACTAAGCCGAAAAGATGAATGAATGACTGAAATTGGCTGTAGTGTATGTATGTGAATGCAAGAGTGTATGGGTGTTTCCCAGTGCTGGAAGGGCATTCTTCATAAGTGTCAAGAACAGCATTTCTTTTTTTCGTAAGCATGCTTTACAAAATCAGACCGATCTAAAGCATGGCTTGAGCAGTAATCCCTCAAGAACATAATCAAAACGTGCCATTATCTTCTCTTGTTCAATAATCGGGGCTAATAAGATTGTAGTCTGGCTTGTATGATCCGCCATCAGAGAGCTTGTGTTTCTGTGCGGCCCCAGAGGTGCTATCTGAAACCATTGCCCTATTGATTAAAGATGGCACCGGTTTCTCAGCCTGGATCCCCTGGCATCATAACACAAGCTAAAGCACCAATGCTCTTTGCAGACTTCGCCCTTTTGAAACCAGAGCCAAACGTCTAAAAGACTATGATTCTAGCTGACCCGTCGAACAGAAACTCAAGCTGTGACGCTGGTGGCTCTTTATAGGCTACATTCACACATACAAACGCACAATTTTTACTACAGTTACACATGGCATTCACACTAGCCTGGAGTTTTCAACACTTAAAAATTGAGAGTTTTGTAAACAAAGCAGAGCCCCACATTTAAGTATGAAAACTTTAGGGGCACTATTTTAACGATCTTAGTGCGATAAGTGCGTGATGCAAAAGCATTTAGGCCCCGTTTACACTGTCAGGTCTTGATGCCCAATTCCGATTTGTTGCCTATATCTGATTTGCTTGCCTGTCTGTTTACACGTTGTTTTAATTGCGACCCATATCCAATTCATACGTTTACACTTGCATGCATAAAGGCGGGTTCTAGCATCTGTGCCACACTAGCCACGATGGAAGAAATTGTCTGGTCTGGTGGCAGCAAATTGTGGTGACTGACCACTTTCCTCCATGTTTCCTCTGATGTTGTTTACCGCGTTGGCATCTCCACACACGCTCTACTTCCTGTCATTAAACCAAAGAGAAGCACCACATTGTCGCAAGTTTAATGACGTACAGAACGGAATGCCTCAATAAATCCGATCTGCCTGTTTACATGACAGTCGCATTGTCACATATCCGATCTGTATCTGATTTATGTCTGACTGAAACCGGTCTCTGAATATCTGAATGCATGCGTTTATTTCATGTTTACACGCTGATAGAACAGATCCGATCTGTGTCACATATGAGCAAAAAATCGGAATTGGGTCACATTTAACTGGCAGTGTAAACAGGGCCTTGTAGTGTGTGTCCGAATCCACATTTGCTATTTTAAGGACAAAAAATACACTCTGCACATAATGTGCATTAAACCAATCACACTGGTCTTCCATTTCCCTCTAAGAGTCAGTTGTGTCATGCCATTTACTATTTACATGGCGAACAGTGTAAGTAGAAAAACTGAACGCTTCAATAGTGAGAAAACAGTTAAACAGACAATCTGCAGCGCGAGGATAAAGAATGAGCTTTTTATATTTATGTAAAAACTAGTGCTGTCAATCGATTAAAAAAAAATAACTAATTAATCACACTCTTTTGTAATTAATCACGATTAATTGCATTTAAAAGACTGAAACTTGTAATTTTGGCTATTCAAATGTAAAATTAATGTAAAAAACTATTTAAATTCAAAATATAATTGTTTATCAGAATTTTTGTTTAACTTGTAACACAGATTTCTTCATGTAAACAACATACCCAAAATAAACCATCAAGATCCTGGCTTAGTTCTCCTTTACATTCAGCCAGTTGCTAAGACAGTCCAGTCTTTTGACA